GTTTTTTTTTTTTTGAACATTTTGACTATATGTAGTATTTGGGTTTATTTTGACAAAATCATACTTGCAAGCAATTTTATTGCAGTCCCCATTCTTCCCCCTTTTCCTCTTCCCCATCCTACTCTCTTCTAAATTTCTAAATATATGTGAATATAACATGATTTTGTTAAATTCATTTCATTTTTCTTCCCTTTTTTCTTTGCTCCTCCCTCATTCTCATTCTTCTCTACCAATCTTCCCTGTATCTTTACGGTATTCAGTCCCCACCCCCCCTCAGCCACACCTTCTTTCCGTGATTTTCTGAGCCCTGGCTTTCAATTGCATGTTTCTTTTTATGGTTCCATTTGATCATCTTTGTTGGTTTTTTGGCTATGAGTCTTTGTTTTATTTTAGTGCCCAGCTTAGCGTTTATAGTATACATTTTTAATTTACCACAATCTACTTTCAAGTGATAATAAACTTTTTGGTATATTCTGTGAGCATTTTATAATAGTATAGTTGTTTCTCCTCTTCTTCTTTGTGCTGTTGTAATGTCTATTTACCTACATAGTTACCTGTAAGATATTTTTTCTGGGCATAGCATTCTCTTAGTGGTTTCACTATTTGGAAGCTACTGCTTTGACAGATTCTATCTTATATAGGACTATAATGTACCCATTTAAAAAAAAAAACAGTCATGTTGTGGTAATTTTCATTTGCATTGTTTTGGACAAGAAGGATAACATCTTATTTGTCTTGTTATTAACATGTCTATTCTCCTATAATTAGATGATTTTTTTTCCCCATGACTCTTTTGGGAGAAGTTTGACATTACTTCTTAATGTTTCTTTAGTACTTTATTAGTTGAACTTCTTGGCTCTGTTGGTTTGTAGTTTTCATCTAATGTGAAAAAATTTGACCATTACATTATACATTTTTGGGTCCACCCCTCTTCTTACATGTATATTAGCATGCTTCTGCCCCACAGCTTAGTAATGCTGTGGGGTTTATTTTCCCCTCTTATCTTTTTTCTCTTCATTTTTATTTTTGAATAGTTTCCACTATAATGTCTTCAAGCTCATTAATTCTTTTTTTCTTCTGCAGTAATCTAATCTGCTGTTGATCTCATCTAGTGCATTTTCCATCTTGAACATTGAACTTTTTTATTTGCAGTTTAATTTTGTTCTTTCTTTATTCTTTGGGGGCAGTACTGGGGATCAAACCCAGCACATGATAGGCAAATGCTCTAACCACTTAGCTACATTGCTAGCCATTTTAAAATTTGAAACAGGGTTTTCCTAAGTTGTGTATGCTGGCCTCAAATTTGTATCCCTCTTGTAACCTCACAAGTAGCTGAATTACAGGTGCGCATCACCATACCTGCTTGGTTCTTATTTTATGTCTTTGATGTCTACTTTACATGTTCTGCCTTGCTTCTCTGAATATATAGAATACAGTGACAATAGTTGTTTTAATATTCTTGTTTAGATTCTAACTTTGTCAGTTTTGGGTCCTTTTTTGGTCATTGAATTTCTCATTATTGGTTGACTTTTTTTTTCTAATGACTTTTAAGTTGCGTTTCAGTTCAGTGCCAAACATTATGATTTAATGATGCAAATATTACTGAACTTTGTTCTGTTAGTTTAACTTGGAAACAGTTTTATTCTTTCATGCTTATTATTTTCTTTTTTAAAATTTCATTTCAGGTCTTATTTTTAAGCTTTATTAGGCAGGAATAGAGCAGTTTTTGTTCAGGGCTAATTTTATCCCAGTATTGTAGCAAAAATCTTTGAATACTCTTCCCTCGGTTACTTTTTCTTTTTATTGAGGATGGAACTCAGGGGCACTTAACCACTGAGGCATATTCTCAGTTCTTTTTGTATTTTATTTAGAGACAGGGTCTCACTGAGTTTCTTAGGGCCTCACTAAGTCGTTGAGGCTGGCTTTGAACTTGACATCTTCTTGCCTCAGCCTCCCCAGCCTCTGGGATTTCAGGCATGCACAACCACTTGGCCTCATTTACTTGTTTTTTTTTTTTTTTTTAAGCTGTTGATAGAACTTTAATGTTATTTATTTATATGTGGTGCTGAGAATTGAACCCAGTGCCTCACAAATGCTAGGCATGCGCTCTACCACTGAGCTACAACTGCAGCCCCCTTATTTACTTTTTGACCAGTGAGGTTTTCCTTTCTGGTTGGTGGGAATGGGTACTATTCCCATCCCTGAATGAGCAGTGGTTTCCCCCCCTTAGTCACTTTGAGTTGTTCTTGTTCTGGCCTTTGGTAGTTTTCCTTATAAGCTCTGAACAGTCCTTAGCTGAAGACTAGAGTTGGGGGAATCAACCATCTTGCCAATCTTTGGAGTTCTTTCTTTGTACAGATCTGTCTTTTTTTAGAGATGTGACCTATAAATTGAGTTCCTTTGATGCCTCCCCAGACTCCCAGCTTTATCTCACTGTTCTCTTTGGTTTCCTTGTCCTCCCTTTTTGTGGATAAACTCTTCTCAGTTAATAAACTGGAACAATCGTAGAGCTCACCTTGTTTATCATTTCCCTTCATTGTCCAATGCCCAGTTCATTGAAAACCATTATATAGTTTGTCCATTTTCTTGTTGCTGTTTTAGGCAGTTGGGCAAATCTGATCCTTGCTTTCCATCTTGGTTGAAAACCAAAGTCTCTCTATGTAAAAAAATTCAATTCCTTTCCTCAGGAAACATATAAAGGTGGTGGAAGTGGGAAATGAGGATCAAAATTGGCTATCAAAAATGACCCCAGGAGGACCCCGTCCTAGTACAGTATCCTTTAGTGAGAACAGTGTTGGAAGAGAGGGCTTTTGCCTTATCCTTTGAAGGTTGACATGTGTGATATTGGACTATACCCTACACATTTAGATAGTGACTATTGATCTTTTTCACAGGGAAAAGAAGTTGGGCTCACTTAATCTTTCCATGGTCTACAGCAGCAGGCATAGACTTTGAGAATAACTGCCACTTCAGGTCATATTGATTTGATGGGTCACTGTTACCATAGTGGAACACCTTTAGTAGTATGTTTTAGGGGCCACACAGTGTCCTAGATTGAGAAGAAATTCTTAACTGAATTGCCAAAAGAGTTTTGTGTAATTATGTGACTTTGGAGAAGTTGGACCTTTACAATGTCTCCTTTTCTAGTGTGGCACCAGGTCTGATATTTTTATTATTTGATTAATGAGGTTTCAACAGTTGTATTAGGGGATTATTTTAAAATTCTGCATTTGGCTTTTATTTGGCAATTTGTTATAAGAAACAAATAACTTCTGTTATCTTAGTACAAATGTCTTCCTCAGGTCTTTTATTCAGACAGGTGCTTTTGAGTTCCTGACATGTGTCAAACCTGCTTTATAATGAATAGAGTAGTAGTCAAATATAGAATCTGAAATGTGGGGGTGGGAAATAGTCCCACTGTGTTCTGTAAAGATGAGCCTGGATGCTAAAGAGCTTTTGTTTCTGTTTATCAGTTTGTACCATATTATGAGTTAAAACTTATATTTAAATATAACTGATCTCTGTGGGGGTTTGCTTCCAGGATTCCTGTCAGATACCAAAATATGAGAATGCTCAAATCCTTATATCAAATAGTGTTTTATCAATTAAATGGGAAAAGTATCTGCATTTAACCCATGCATATTCTCTTGTATACCTCATATCATGTCTAGATCACTTATAATAGCTAACACAGTACAGATGTTATATAAATAGTTGTTATGCTGTATTGTTTAATGAATAATGATTCAAAGTCTGTACATGTTCAGTACAGATCCAATTTTTTTCTCAAGTATTTTTGATGCTATTGTTGTAATTAGCAATGGTAATTTTAGCAATGATAGGTAAGCCATGTTAATAATAGCTAGAGGGTTTTGTAACCATGGGATACAGAAAACGTGTAGCTGTATATCTAACATTTGATTTGTAAATAAATGGAAAAATGTATCAGTAGGCTCAGTGAGTTTTCTTGCCTGACAAGTTTCATGGATAGTCAGAAATAATCACAAGTTTGCTTAGTAGACTTGGATTCTGACAGGGGAGTCAACTGAGTGCTTTCCAGTAGGAATATGGCTACCCTAGCAGTTGACTCTTGGCCAGTGATTCCCATTTGTGTAATAGATGCCCAGCAAATATTTGTTAGGTAATTAATAACCTGTGAAAAGTTTTGGGTAGGTTTTAAAATTGGTACATTACTTCACAATAGTTTAAGAAATAAAATTTAGTTCTGTGAAGTATTTTAGCTCAAGGTGGTTAAAGTAGGCTACTTTCCTGAATCTAGGGGATGAACTTTTGCTTTTATTTATTTACTTATTTCCTTATTTATTTCTTGCACTACTGGGGATTAAATCCAACGTTTAATGCATGCTAGGTAACTTTACTCTGCCACGGAGGTACATCCCTAGTTCTGTTTCTGGGGATTGCACAAAGAAGATTCTGTGTAATTGCTCTCTGAATTTTAGTTCTGTACCATGAGCATAAATTAACTAATGACATACTGAATTTGATGATGTTAAATAAGGCAGGTTCACAAACTGAAATACCATTGGAACTGTCATTAGAACCAGCTAGCATTTTAATGACTAGGAGATCAGATGAACTTTAATGCATGTATTACAAGAAATCTCCCATCAGCAGGTGTTCATCATTGCTTTGGAGGTATTTAAATTCTTTCAAAGTATTTTAGAACGTTTTTTTTGGGGGGGTGGGGGGAGGTGTACCAGAAATTGAACCCAGGGGCGCTTAATCACTGAGCCACATCCCTCTTTCTTATTTTTTTTTTTTTTTTTTAATTTTTAGACAGGGTCTCACTAATTTCCTTAAGGCCTTGATAAATTGCTGCGGCTAGCCTTGAACTTGCAGTGCCGCCTGAGCCACTCAGATTATAAGCATGCACACTGTGCCTGGCTTTTATAGAATGCTTTGATGGTATAGTAGAAACTTGATAAAGTCTACTAAGATTAAAAATAGTTCACTGACATTCTTTTCTTTCTTTCCATCAGTTCTTCAGTTGTTGTGAAGCATAAGACCTTTCAAACCACTGTAGATATGGACAAAGAAGAAAGGAAGACTATCAACCAGGGTCAAGAAGATGAAATGGTAACCACCTTTCATAATTTACTTGTGAAATATGAAGAAGTAATCTCTTCCATTTATTATTCTAAGGAGTAGAAAAGTACAGTTATGAAACAAATCTAAATCAGTGAGTTTCTCTCCTCATCATGTTCTTCAGTTGGTATTATGTAATATCTATATTTGTTGTTTTCAGTATAATTCCTTTTTTTTTTTTAACCTGTGAGCTGCTCAAACTTGGGAAAAGAAGTATGCTTTTACATTTGGTGATTTGATTTGGTACATTAACTAATGTTTAAATATGACTCCAAATGAAGATTTGTAATTTTGATTTTAAAATTTAAAAATCAACTTCATAAAAACAAAACAAACAGAAAAACCCAACTTTAGCTGCATGTGGTGGTGCACGCCTAAAATCCCAGTGGCTTGGGAGGATCGAGAGTTCAAAACTAGCCTCAGCAATTTAGTGAGGCCTTGAGTAACTTAGTGAGACCCTGTCTCAAAATAAAAAATAAAAAGGTCTGGGAATGTGGCTTAGTGGTTAAGCGCCCTTGGGTTCAGTCCCTGATACCCCAAAACAAACAAACAAAAAACCCAAACCAAAACAAAACAATTTTTCATGCTGGAGACATAACAGCTCAATTGTAGAGCTCTTGCTTAATGTGCAAGCGCTCTACAATTGAGCTGTTATCCCCAAGTTCAATCCCGGCACCACAAACAAAACAGAACAAAAAATGAACTTCTCAACTCTTTGGTGAAGTGCAAGTGGAAATATGCCAGATAAGATATAAATTTTTCTATTATGTGTAAATTTCAGATAATCAAGAAATAAACCTTTAGTATTACATATACCCAGAATGTTGCATGGGACCAGCAAAGTTATTTGTTGCTTATTTGAAATTTTAAGTGTAAATAGGTCCTCAGCATTTTAATTTGCTATGCCTGGCAACCTCTGTGTATGTGTGCATTTGTGTTTCTGTTTTAATGGTAATATTTAAAATAATTTTAGTCAGGGGTCTAGTTTATCCAATTACAGTGTTACTGAGACATCAAATTACTTGGGAAAAAATTAAAACCCACATTATCTAGATGCAGTGTGATATTCTGGATTATGTCCTGGAATAGGAATAAGATGTTAGTGGAAAAACTTGAAATTCTAATATTGAGTTTAGTTAATAGTAATGTAGCAGTGTTAATCTTTTGGTTTTGACAGATGTATCAAGATGTTAACATTAGGGTGAAGTTGACACAGAAACTCTCATTTTTGTAACTTTTCTGTAAATAAACTACCTCATAACTGTGAATTCTTGAAGAATTATTAAGACTTATAAAAATTATAATAAAAATGGGAGTTCATAACCCACTTGAATCAAAGTGTGAAATATGATATGTCAAAAACTATGTAATGTTTTGAACAACCAACAATAAAAATTAAAGAAAAAAAATTATAATAAAATATACTTACTATGAATATACTGTGTCAGTGGAAAAGAACTTATTAAACATCAAATACCATACCATAAATTATAAATAGCCAATTTAACTTTAAAATTAGTTAATTTTATTCGTAAACTTGTCAAGAACAAAATATAAATTATTGATTGAGAAAATATTTACTATTTATGTGACAAAATATGTGCTTGGGATGAAAAAGCATTTTTTAATTCATTTGTCTGCTGTATAATTTGATAATTAATCATCTGATCATTGTGTCCATACAGGAGATTTATGGTTATAATTTGTGTCGCTGGAAGCTTGCCATAGTTTCTTTAGGAGTGATTTGTACTGGTGGGTTTCTTCTCCTCCTCCTATACTGGATGCCTGAGTGGCGGGTGAAAGCAACTTGTAAAAGAGCTGCAGTTAAAGAATGTGAAGTGGTGCTGCTGAGGACTACTGTAAGTCCATATATTGACTGATAGCTGCTTATTTGAGGAATAAAATAATGGTTTTGTATTTACTTTGTTCAAAACCATGCACGAATGGAACATTAGGGGGAGGTGCCAGAATATAATGAATTTTGAGTATGGTATTTCTAAAGTATCTGTGTTTAAAGTGAATATTATTAGAGTGATTAGAATTTAAAGGAATCTTTAAAATGGTCAGGTTTCTCCCCTTCTTTTATAGCTCTTGATGCCCCAAGAGATTAGAAACTAGTCTGACCCTTTAGGACTCTCTTGGCTGTTTCTCATTTAGTAGGCCAGCTGCTTATCTACTGTGTGATGCTGCTTTATCTCAGACTATTTTGGTTGGTTTGTTTGTTTTTATCTTAATTTGAAGCATTTTAAAAAAGGTTTTAGTTTCTAATGCTCATGTACAGATGCGTGAGTAGATTAAGGAATTAGTTGTGATATTTCATGGAGTATATTGATGTTTGTACTGGTGAAATGTGTCATAAAATTTGTGAGCAATGAAATATACTTCATGTTTGAATTTATTCATCTTCTTGCAGTTTAACATTTAGTGAACAGGAAATTATGTTTTTTTGCCAGGTACCATGGTGCATACACATAATCCTGGCAACTTGGGAGGCTGAGGCAGGAGGATTGCAAGTTTCAGGGCAGCCTCAGGAATTTAGTTAGACTTTCAGAAACTTAGTAAGACCCCCATCTCAAATAAAAAGAACTGGGGATATAGCTCAGCAAAACATCCCTGGGTTCTATCCCTAGTACCAATAAATAATAAGTAATGAAAGAAAGAAACAGACAGATTAAAAAAAAGCCTGGGGATATTGCTCAATGTTGAAACAGCTCTGGGTTCAATCCCCAGCATGGGGTTGGGACCATTTGGGTTGGGGAAGCAGGAGGAGAAATTATGCTTTCTTAATTAGAGGTGAGTAAGTATGTACAAAATGGAAATTAAAAACACAGGCAGTCATACAATATACATAATTGACTCTTTTTCCCCTTTTTTTTTAAGGATGAATTCAGAATGTGGTTTTGTGCAAAAATTCGTTTTCTTTCTCTGGAAAATCATCCATTTTCAAATCCAAAATCTGTAACTGATAAGATTTCAAATGGCCATGCAGTTCATTTAACTGAGAATCCTGTTGAAGAGAATAGTCATGAGATGAGTAAATATTCACAGACTCAGACACAACAGGTACTGTGATCTAGTGTCCAAATTTCTTTATAAACTAGAATTGTGAATATTTTGTGCTATCATATGTAACTTATAGGATACATATTTTGGGTTTACTGTTATTGCTTGAGATAAATTTATATGCATATAAAATAAAATATCTATCACTAAATGTAACAGTTTAGGTGTTCCTTTAAAAAAAATTACATGTTACAACAAACGATGATATGCTTTGATGTAACATTTATGTGTGTTCTACAGATTCGTTATTTCACCCACCATAGTGTAAGATATTTCTGGAATGATACCATTCGCAATTTTGATTTCTTAAAGTAAGTATCTTTCTTTTTTTGGACTATATTAAGAATTTTCTGAAAATGTTCTCAGTAGAAAAGAATCTATTGTAATTTTACATAGAATTGAAGGGATTTTTATTGCATAACTTTTATTCATTTGTTCATTAACAACTTCTGTAGTTTCTTTTCTTTTTTTTTTTTTTTTTTAACCAGTGATTGAACCCAGGGTGCTTAACTACTTAGCCACATCCCCAGCCCTTTTATATTTTATTTTGAGACAGGGTTTCACATAGTTACTCAGTGCCTCATTTGGGTTGCAGAGGCTGGCTTTGAACTTGAGATCCTCCTTTCTCAGCCTTCTAAGCCACTGGGATTATGGGCATACACCACCATTCCCAGTTCCTCCCAGTGTTTTTGAAGACTCAGTAATTTTTTTTTTCATCCCTACCTATAACTTGTATTGGGTAAAATTTACATAAAAGTTAGAAGCAGTATGATACCAAAGTATTCCCAAGTCTGAGGTCTTTTGATTTTCACCTCAAAGTGATTTTTTTAAAAATTTTTTTTATTGTTGGTTGTTCAAAACATTACATAGTTCTTGATATATCATATTTCACACTTTGATTCAATGGGTTATGAACTCCCATTTTTACCCCGTATACAAATTGCAGAATCACATCAGTTACACATCCATTGATTTACATATTGCCATACTAGTGTCTGTTGTATTCTGCTGCCTTTCCTATCCTCTACTATCCCCCCTCCCCTCCCCTCCCCTCTTCTCTCTCTACCCCCTCTACTGTCATTCATTTCTCCCCCTTGTATTATTTTCCCCTTTCCCCTCACTTCCTCTTGTATGAAATTTTGTATAACGCTGACGGTCTCCTTCCATTTCCATGCAATTTCCCTTCTCTCTCCCTTTCCCTCCCACCTCTCATCCCTGTTTAATGTTAATCTTCTTCTCATGTTCTTCGTCCCTACTCTGTTCTTAGTTACTCTCCTTATATCAAAGAAGACATTTGGCATTTGTTTTTTAGGGATTGGCTAGCTTCACTTAGCATAATCTGCTCTAATGCCATCCATTTCCCTGCAAATTCTGTGATTTTGTCATTTTTTAATGCAGAGTAATACTCCATTGTGTATAAATGCCACATTTTTTTTTATCCATTCGTCTATTGAAGGGCATCTAGGTTGGTTCCACAGTCTTGCTATTGTGAATTGTGCTGCTATGAACATCGATGTAGCAGTGTCCCTGTAGCATGCTCTTTTTAGGTCTTTAGGGAATAGACCGAGAAGGGGAATAGCTGGGTCAAATGGTGGTTCCATTCCCAGCTTTCCAAGAAATCTCCATACTGCTTTCCAAATTGGCTGCACCAATTTGCAGTCCCACCAGCAATGTACAAGTGTACCCTTTTCCCCACATCGTCGCCAGCACTTGTTGTTGTTTGACTTCATAATGGCTGCCAATCTTACTGGAGTGAGATGGTATCTTAGGGTGGTTTTTGATTTGCATTTCTCTGACTGCTAGAGATGGTGAGCATTTTTTCATGTACTTGTTGATTGATTGTATGTCCTCCTCTGAGAAGTGTCTGTTCAGGTCCTTGGCCCATTTGTTGATTGGGTTATTTGTTATCTTATTGTCTAATTTTTTGAGTTCTTTGTATACTCTAGATATTAGGGCTCTATCTGAAGTGTGAGGAGTAAAGATTTGTTCCCAGGATGTAGGCTCCAATGGAGGAAGGATAGCATCTTCAACAAATGGTGCTGGGAAAACTGGAAATCCATATGCAACAAAATGAAACTGAATCCCTTTCTCTCGCCATGCACAAAAGTTAATTCAAAATGGATCAAGGAGCTTGATATCAAATCAGAGACACGGCGTCTGATAGAAGAAAAAGTTGGCTACGATCTACATACTGTGGGGTCGGGCTCCAAATTCCTCAATAGGACACCCATAGGACAAAAGTTAATAACTAGAATCAACAAATGGGACTTACTCAAACTAAAAAGTTTTTTCTCAGCAAAAGAAACAATAAGAGAGGTAAATAGGGAGCCTACATCCTGGGAACAAATCTTTACTCCTCAAAGTGATTTTTTAAAAAAATTATGTCTAATAGCTTGTTTTAAATAGATTTATTCATGTAGGTGGTGCTGGGAATTGAACCTAGGGTCTTGAACCTGCTAAGCAGGCATTCTACCTCTGAGCAGCATATGTAGCCCACTATGATTTAATTAGAGGATCTGAATTATTACTTTCTGATTTGTTGACAGTCCCATCCAGTTGTACTTGAGGACCATACTAATATACAGAAATAGAAATTTAATTTTACTATTTGGATAAAGAATGAAATGTTGTCAGATGTGTTATCTTTGGGTAGCATACATTGGAGTAATACCTTAAAATTTATTTTTGCCCAGGCTGGCCCCAAATTCTTGAGCTCAAATGATCCTCCTGTCTTAACCTCCTGAGAAATGATGGAGGGACTATAGGTATAGTTCAGTGATAGAGCACTTGCCTAGCATGTATAAGACCTTGGGTTTCATCCCCAGCATGTGAGTGAGCGTATGTGTGTGCATACTCAAATGCACATATAACTTTTAAGAAAGTGGAAATGGATCAAAATTGAATATATGTAAGATTCTGTTTGCTGTGGAGTACTGTGCTTATATTTTAGTTAAAATAAAGATAAATAAGACATTTTGGGGAAAATTAAATGTTAGTTGGGTCCCATTTAAGATTTTTACACATTTTAGACATTATCTATGACTCATAAATTGTGTACTTCTAACCTATGCATTATTTAGCTCAGGGAAGGATTTGAATTGATGCCTTTCTGAAGTTGGTAGTCTATGAATAGGATTTCTTAGTTTGATGCTAAAGGTATAAAGGAGAAACTACAAATAGAAAGTGAAAATAATTTAATCTTTAGTTTGGAATTCTCAAGTCAGTTATGCTTAATCTTAACTTTTATTATTGACTCTTATAGCTTTTGCACAGCCTTAAAAGGATAATGGTGTTACATAAACAAGAATTTATGTGAGAAATGCATTGATTAACTTATTTGTTATGTTTTAGACCATTCATAATTATTTATGTTAAGATTTTGAGATTTTTAATTTTTGTTTCTAAATTTATGCTAAGCATTTCTAAGAAGATTATAAGGAAGTTACACTTTTAAAATCAGCCATGTAGAAAAATGAGACATTAAGAAATTTGGATATTTTAAACTTTGTTTACAGTGAAAACTTTGGATTTATTTAGGGGGCTGGATGAAGGTGTTTCTTGTACATCAATTTATGAAAAACATGGTGTGGGACTGACAAAAGAGATGCATGCCTGCAGGTAATTTTTATCCAACTAAAGTTAGATCTGTTCTCAAAATTTTTAAACTTAGACATATATATGTATGTGTGTGTATACACACACTCGGTCCTTTGCCTTGTGGTACATATTAACAGGTGTTTAAATACTACAGATTAGTTGTTGAGAACTTATATTTCATTTGAGTAAAACTGTCTCAGTTTTAATAATTATAAAAATGTTAAAGCTGATGTTGAAGTTGATGTACCCAAAGTTCCACAGTATTTCCTCAATTCTAAGGTGCACATTTTTTCCCATTTTAATATCTCTAAAATTGAGCCATTCCGTCTAGCTGTTTGAATGTCATCCTTTGCTTGACAGAAGATTTATCTTTCTTGATCATATATAAAATAGTGGTGTATCTTGTAAAAGGATAACATCTTAGATTTTCTGAAATATATTTTCAGATTCACACAAGGAAAATTTGTAAAATGAGAGTCCTACTCTTTCATGTTATTCTGATAAAGCAGGAAATATACATATTGTATATTTTATACTTATTTGTGAAGTATGCATATTGCTTATTTTAGATAAATGCCATTTTCAGATTATAATAAAAATTTTATTGTATTTGTGTAGCTTTTTTTTTCAAAGAGTTGGAACAAAAAAATCAGACTTACACTTTCCTATAAAATGCAAAATTATTATATAGAAGGTACTATAAGGAATTATCTAGAAGGATTTAAGGAACATTTTAAAAATATTTTTTCGTTATAAGTCAAATGTACAATCTTTTGAAATATATACTCAGTACAGTATTCTTATTAGAGGAATAATATAGGATTCCTTAAATTTAGTTAATCTCTTGTAAAACTTAATTGTAATTCAAACTTTGTTAAGATCTGTTGCCTTCAAGGATGGAGAAGAGATCCTTTTGCTTATTGATTATTGACTAGTGGGATTATTATCAACTCACATGTAAGATGTGAATAATGAAATGAAACACTATAGTTATTCAGGATTGACATCTTTGATTTAAATACAGTAGGTAGAGAATTTTTTTCATAGAGAATTTTAATTGAAGCATGTTTTTTAAAAACATAAATTTAAGAACAGTCTGTGGTTTGAATCTTATATAATGCAATCTTTCCTAAATTATACTGTTATTTCATGATACAGTGTAATACTATTAATTCTATTTTCCTGTTACAGAAAATTGCTTTATGGTGTAAATGAAATTACTGTGAAAGTGCCTTCTGTTTTCAAGCTTCTAATTAAAGAGGTAAGACCATATAGAACTCAACATTTGTGATCAGTGAATTTGTCTATTAAGAAAGGGTCACAATTAAGCAATAGAATATTCTTGGTTTCTGTTTGCTAACTTTGCTTGCCATTTTACAATGGAAAAAACTTGGCAGAGAAGAATTTGGGGTATGAATTTTTTATTTTGTTTAATTTTGTTTTTATTGAGTTTTTTTAAATTTTCAAAAAGTTGCACATGTAAATCTTTTCCTGTGTTACAGATGTAATACCTTTCTTCCTTTTTAAGAAAAAATTGTCTGTTTTCTTCACATGGTATTTCTTGGTACATTATTGGAGACTAAGCATTGTACCAGAACTTTGAAAATCAGCACATGACATGTATGATTCTTGATCTTGAGGAACTTGCACTGTATTCTGGGAAGAACCATGTTAGTGGTTATTGTGATGAGGTTTTGTTTGTGCCATTAGAAGCATGAATAAAAGATAATGGGCATGTCAAGGCCGGGGATACAGACTAACCAGCAGAGGAAGACTTGCCTGCCCTATTTTTTTCTGGCTTTTTTGTTTTGAAAGCATTTTTTCTGCTGTTTTTTTATCTACAAAATTAGAATAAATTCTTTCTAAATATCTCATGGTTTTGAGTAAAGTGGAACTGTATATATGAAAGTGCTTTGAAAAGTATAGAATCAGTGTTAAGACATCAGAGAGGTTATTAATGAAATTGATAAAATACCATGAAATTTGGTTAGATGAATTTTATTGTCAGGGCTCCCTTATTTTTATTCAGGATTTAATCCTTAATTTCCTTTAAGAAATAAGAATAGTTTAACCAGTATCTCCTATTTGTTTTCCCTTTGAACTTTGACCTTTTGACATAAGCAGATTTGTTACATTTGATAAAAGTTTCCTATCTTTACAGGTACTGAAAGGCTGGTTCCACAATTTTCTTTCTTTTTTAAAAAATAGTTTTTTACTTGTAGATGGGCACAATACCTTTATTTATCTTTTATTAGTCCAGAGCATATTAATTATTGAAAACAAATGTATTTTATTACTGAAGCAGAATGCAGAACAACTATTCATATACTTTAGCTTTTTCTATGCAAATCATTTAAATCAGGCCAAATTCTAGTAATTTCTTGGTAAATAAGCATACCTATAATCCCAACAACTCAGGAGGCTGAGGCAGGAGAATTGCAAGTTCAAAGCCAGCCTGGGCAACTTAGCAAGATCCTATCTGAAAATCAAAAAGGCCTGTAAATATATCTCTGGTAAAAGAGTCTCTGGGTTGGTTTAATTCCCTGTACAGAAAGAAAGAAAGAACATACTAATATACTGCCCTACTCTTTAGAGTAATACATGTTGTCCTAGGCTACTACAGAGTTTATCCCATATCTGGTTAAGGTTGAGAATCTACATGATTGTAAATATGTCATTCAATTTACCTTTCAAAAAATTTTTTTTCTTAGGTTCTCAATCCATTTTACATTTTCCAGTTGTTCAGTGTTATACTGTGGAGCACTGATGAATACTATTATTATGCTCTAGCCATTGTGATTATGTCCATAGTATCAATTGTCAGCTCCCTATATTCCATTAGAAAGGTAAGTCAAAATTTATGGTTTTAGAGCTATATTTGTATTTTGTGATAACCCGATAAAGGTATGGAATAGTATTTGATACAAAATGAATACTCAATAGTCATTATTTTAGTTTAATGGATTTATAAGCCCTTGTGCTTTTTTTTTTTTTTTAAGGTTAGGGAAGCTAGATTTGTTTTAGAATTAGATTATCTACCACTTGACTATGGGAAATCTAGTTGCTTGTCACAGAGTGGAATACTGAAAGGCTGGTTCCACTATTTTCTTTCTTTTTTCTTTTTTTAAATAGTTGTAGATGAGCACAATACCTTTATTTTATTTTATTTTTATGTGGTGCTGAGGATTGAACTCAGTGCCTCATATGTGCAAGGTAAGGTAAGTGTTCTACCACTGAGCCACAACCCCAGTCCCACCACTATTTTCAGAACTATTGCAGAGTACTTCTTTTTTTTGTTTGAGATAAAACACTGAATGATCCTTCAATCACTGATTCTTGACATTTTTATAAAGGTGGAGTACTACGTATTTATCATATTAATGTGCCTTATATTTTAGCATTCTTTCTAGTGTCTTTACAAGTTGATTTATATTGGCTGTTTTAAATTTCTTTTCCTCTTTCAGCAATATGTTATGTTGCATGACATGGTGGCAGCTCACAGCACTGTGAGAGTTTCAGTTTGTAGAGTAAATGAAGGTAGGTATTTCAGGTGACTATTAAGAATTTTTTAAAAATGACCATTAAGTGCTAAAGTATAAAATAAATCCAAATTATACATATACATTCGTTTTTTAAAAGAGGTAAAAATACGTGTTTGGATTCCTGAGTTTGTATCTAATTCCTTCATTTATGTAAAATTTAAATTTTCTTTTTCTACAATACAAAAAGGTAGTGTACTGTAGGCACTATGCGCTCTAGGGATTTAGTCTTCTTGGAAAGACAGATGTTAAACAGTAACAGTAAGTTGTGATAAGTGTGCCAGGTTTTGTAATGGTGCACACTTGTAATCCCAGGGACTCGGGCTGAGGCAGGAGAATTACAAGTTTGAGGACAGCTTGGGCAACTTAGTGAGAACTTGTTTCAAAACAAAAAGAGTGGGGGCATAGATCAGATGTAGAGTGCTTGCCTAGCATGTGTTAGGCCCTTTGTTTGATCCCTAGCAACATACACACACAAGTAGCACACAGTGTGATAAATGCCATGATACCTAGATACTGCAGGTATCAGGGATAGCTTCTTTGAGGAAGTGATTTTAAGTGGTGACTATTTGAATTGGCCAAATAAGATGAGAAATTGGTAAAGTGAAGGACAGAGAGGGAGAGAAGAAGATTCTAAGTGCCTAATGGCCAGAAATTGCAAATTTTGTGGTCATTATAAGAGCTGAAAGAAAATCAGTGTGGCACATATAGTAAGTGGATGATGGGCAAGGCATGTTAAGGAATTTGAACTCAATCCAACAGTAAGCCATTGAAAGACTCCTTTGTGTGGTCCTGATGTTTTATGGTACACTGAAAAGAACGGAATTTTAAGTAGTGCTAAAGCTTTAAGAAAAATAAAGTCTTATTTTTATTTTTTTGTACCAGGGATCGAACTGTTAACCACTGAGTCACAATCCATTTGCTTTTTTATTTGGAGACAGGGTCTCCCTGAGTTGCTTAGGGCCTCTAAATTGCTGAGGCTGGCTTTGAACTTGCAATCTTTCCTTCCTCAGCCTCCTGAGCTGCTGGGATTACAGGCGTGCACCATCATACCTGCCAAAGGTCACGGTTTTAAAATAAGGCTTTTATTATAAAAAATGAATTAAATATCATTCTTTAAAAGTTGTTTAATCAAAATTTAAACTTACATCCTTTTTTAGAGAAGTATTTGTCATATAGACTAATATTGCAAAACAATAGTGTTTTTCCTCACCCATCTTTGTATTCGAACTAATGTGACTCTCCTGCAAACAATATTAAATCTGGGGGGCTGGGAAATGAAGAAATAAGAGGAAGAGAGAATGCTTAAATATTAGGTGACTCAAGAGAAACCTCTTATCCTTTGGAAGATCTTTTTAAAAAGTGTTTAGCTAATTTAGGTTTTCAAGGAAATAATACACTAGGTAAAATGTTATAATGCTTAATTTATTTAATAAATTTAGTCATATTTAAAATAATATGTAAAAAGACTAAAGAATATTGAAGGCTGTGAGACATTAGGGTTATAAATAGTATAAAAAGAATACTGGAACTAGTATTCAGAAATAGTCTATGGATATATCTTTCATGTGCAAATTTTCAAATGCTGTATATTTTACACACACATACCACACATAGAAGAATATTATAAAATACTCTTTAAAATATGCTGAATTTTTAATGTTTTCATGTCAATAGAAATTCGAGTTTGACCTGTTTCAGTGACTCTTCTGTATAGATGCATTGTGTTTATTTTCTGAGATGGATGGATGGATAGGTTATAGCTAAAATTGATCATTCACAGGTGTCGTGAATATTAAAGTGTACAGGCACTTGTCATCACCTGTACACAGTTTATCCTGTCAGGAGACAAACTGACACACCCATGCTTTGTTGGTTTAATCCTATTTCTCAAAACATTGGATTTATGAGTATTTTTGTGTTAACACTAAGATCAGGAGACCTTTGAATGGATCATTGATTTGTTTGCCCTGCTTTTATTTCAAGTTGAAGGATATTCTTTTCAGATTTTTCTTTCTTAAAATTCAGAAATAGAAGAGATATTTTCTACAGACCTTGTGCCAGGAGATGTGATGGTCATTCCTTTAAATGGAACAGTCATGCCTTGTGATGCAGTACTTATTAATGGCACTTGCATTGTAAATGAAAGCATGTTAACAGGTGAGTTAAACTAAACCAATAAAATTGTATCAATTGTTTATAACTGATACTAACATTAAATAGTTAACTGTTTAAACTTTTAAAATTAACTGTCATGTATATCTTTTACTTATAAATGTGCGTAGACCAAATTCTGCAAAATACTTAACTGTGATCGTAAATAATCATGCTGGTATTGGCTATGTGTCTTGGCCTGTCTCTTGCTATTTTTTTTAAATATTTATTTTTTAGTTTTAGGTGCACACTTTATTTTACATTTGTGTGGTGCTGAGGATCAAACCCAGTGCCTCATGCATGCTAGGCAAGCACTGTACCACTGAGCCACATCCCAGCCCCGTCTCTTGCTATTTTTTGACATAAGAAAATGGTTTATAGTAAGGAAAGAAGAAAAGTCCTTTGCCTACAGAAAACATAACATATTTGCCTCCCTGTTTGTTGTGTAAAAAATGGGAATACATAATGATTTATATTTTTGCTAAACTGGGGAAAAGTAAAAGTAGACTACCTCCAGACCATAATCTGGAGGTAGATATTTATATCTTTTTAAATATGTGAATGTAGTCAGTTTGACAAGAAGATGTTTCTGTATAACCTTTAATACGCTTTAATATACAGTGCCTCCTTTGAACCAAATGATATAAATGGTATAGAGAACTAAATTTTGAAAAGAATTTGGCTGTTAGTGATGGCTTGGGATAAACCCCAAACTCCTCATTTCTATCTCCCTTGCCCAGATGCCTTTTCCTTATGTGTGTGTGGCACGCGCGCGCGTAGGGGTTGGCTAGCCGTGGATATTCATATTATAGGGTATTTGAGGTAACAGTGCTTTCTAGTTCAATTGTTAGGGGTATAAGAACAGGTGCTGGGGTATTGCAACTACCCTGGTCATTTTCAAAATTATTTGAAACTCAGTAGCACTATCATTTCCAAATATGGACGAATACTACCTTTTAGTCACAGATCTCTTTCTGGAATTTGTATGGGAGACAAAACTTTATTTCTAGGTGACACAGTTCAGAGAAAAAAGGCTAATTAATTCAGCTGTAATTCTTAACAACTATTGTAAGCAGTACTCTAGTATTTATAGTATTTCACAATTTAAGGTTTTTATGTTTGGTACTAATTCTGTGAGTGCTTTCATTTAATTTAATAATCTATGATATTTTTTAAATAGGAGAAAGTGTTCCAGTGACAAAGACTAATTTGCCAAATCCTTCAGTGGATATAAAAGGAATGGGTGAGGAAATATATAGTCCAGAAACACATAAACGACACACTTTGTTTTGTGGAACGACTGTTATTCAGACTCGTTTCTACACTGGAGAGCTCGTCAAAGCCATAGTAGTTCGAACAGGTAGAAAATACATCTCTTGTATATTTTAGCACGTTTGATACCTGTTGAATGTTTAAAAAGATTGTCTGTTCTGGGAGATAATTGTTATTTCTGTATAAAAAATATAAGTAATTTTAATTTCTTTCTTTTTTTTTTTTTGTGGGGGAAAGGATTTAGTACTTCCAAAGGACAGCTTGTTCGTTCCATATTGTATCCCAAACCAACTGATTTTAAACTCTACAGAGATGCCTACTTGTTTCTGCTGTGTCTTGTGGCAGTGGCTGGCATTGGGTTCATCTACACGATTATCAATAGCATTTTAAATGAGGTATGTATGAGGGCTCTTACTAGGGTTGATCCTTAACTATTTTACCACATGTGACTATTGACAATTTTGAAATGTGACTAGTAAGACTGAGGAACTAAATTTTTAAGCTAATTTAAAGAAGACATATGAACTAATAGTTATTGTATTACAAAGAACAAATATAGGATATTTCTGTCATAGCATTCAGGGGTTTTTGTTTTTTTCTTTCTTTTTTTTTTTTTTGATGACTCTGGGTTAGATAGGCTTTTACTTGCCATTTTTTTTTTGGAGGAGGGGAGGCGCTAGGGATTGAATGCAGAGCTTTGTGCATGTAAAGCAAGCACTCTACCAAATGAACTATATCCCCAGTCCCTCTTGCCTATTTGTGACTTTAAAAAAGAAAAAAACACACAAACCAGAAACTTTATTTTTTATCTTTGGGATAGAATATACAGAATAAATTTATTTTTTGAACATTTAATTGAAAGGACCTTGTAAGATCTCTTTTCTTTCCCCGGTAGAGACTGGGACAGTATGGCACTTACCAGATGAACTATATCTGGCAGAGTTTGTTGAACTTGTTTTAGAAGTGTGCCTTGTGAAAAATGTATGAATATAAAAATATAACTGTCAGAAGTTTCCTGTAGCTGGGATTTTACAGTTCTCTTGACCATTCATTGAGTTTTCTATTTTGTAGAATCTCTGAAGGAAGAAAAATTAGAGATCATAATAGATGTGTATATGTATGTATAAGTATACATATATACACATGTAGCTATACACATGCTTATATATCAAATTAAAATGTTTATAGACTTATTGAATAAATACCCACATTAATTTAGTAAATATTTAATATGGTTTGACATTTAGTTTTTGTTTCATTTGTAGGAAGAAGTTGGGGTAATAATCATAGAGTCTCTTGATATAATTACAATTACTGTGCCACCTGCACTTCCTGCTGCAATGACTGCTGGTATTGTGTATGCTCAGAGAAGACTGAAAAAAGTTGGTATTTTCTGTATCAGTCCCCAACGGATAAATATATGTGGACAGCTGAATCTTGTTTGTTTTGACAAGGTTGGTTCAGTTTCATAATTGTTCTCAAAGGTTACTGGGTAGCTTTTAAATATTTAGATTGCTTTCATTTTTCTTTGTCAGCTAATTTACAGTCATTTTTTTTAATGTTTCTCTAATTTTCCTCTTTCTCAGTTTGTTTACTTATATATCTTTTTCTAAAAATATTTTTTAGTTTTTAGGTGGACACACTTCCTTCCTTCCTTCCTTCCTTCCTTCCTTCCTTCCCTCCCTCCCTCCCTCCCTCCCTCCCTCCTTTCCTTCCTTCCTTCCTTCCTTCCCTCCCTCCCTCCCTCCTTTCCTTCCTTCCTTCCCTCCCTCCCTCCCTCCTTTCCTTCCTTCCTTCCTTTCCTCCTTTCTGTCTTTCTTCCTTTCTGTCTTTCTTATTTTTTATGTAGTGTTGAGGATCGAACCCAGCACCCCGCGCATGCCAGGCGAGCGCGCTATTCCATGAGCCACAACCTCCAGCCCTATACATTTTTTAAAATATTTTTTTATTTTCTCAATTTTTAAAGCTTTGGGATGTTACTTATTTGCTCAAATCTGCAATTGATTAAGTGCATCCAGTATTATGCCTTGTTCTGTGGTAATAAGTAAGCTGGGCACAGTGGCATGCACTTTTAGTTCCAGTGCTTGGGACAACATCTGAGACAGGGCTCTCTTAAGTCCACAGGTTTGAGGTCAGCTTTGGCAACATAGCAAGAACCTGTCTCAAACAAAAATAATAACAAAAAAGGTTCAAATATAGTAGCAATAAGTGTAAAAATTATGTGTACTTTTGTATTTTTAGGTAGTCTTAATTTAACAGAATAGGCTCTATAGACACATTTGCTGTGATTTTTTTTTTATTTGCTTATAAGTATATGTGTTTAATGTTGCTCTAATTTTGAGTACATGTTTCAAAATTATGAAGGTCAGAAATTTTATGTGCAAATAACAAATTGTGTACTTTTGTGAGATATATGTTTTCTCTTAATGTTTCTCTATTTTTTTTTTTTTTTGGTACTGGGGATTGAACCCAGTGGCGCTTAACTACTGAACCACATTCCTAGCCCTTATTTACTTATACGTGTACAGGTATTATATTATATTTGGAGACGGGCCTCAGTAAGTTTCTGAGGCTAGCTTTGAACTTGCGATCCCAATCCTCCCGCCTCAGCCTACCTAGCTGCTAGGATTACAGGTGTGTGCCACCATGCCTGCCCTATTTCTCCACTCTTGAAGGGAAGTTAGGTATTGCTGAAAGATTAAACTAGAAAACCTTTCTTCAAACTGTTCTAGGTAACTGATAAAAGAATTTGATTTTTTGAGCACTTTATTTTCAAACATGAGAAATGCATGTTTTGCTTAACACCAAAAAACCAAATAACCCAATCAATAAATGGGCAAAGGAACTGAGCAGGCACTTCACAGAAAGAAGAAACGTGATTAGTCAACAAATACATGAAAAAATATCTAATATCTCTAACAGAGAAATGCAAATTTAAACTACATTGGGATTCTATCTCATTCCAGTCAGGCAATTATCAAGAATGCAACTAACAATAAATGCTGGCAAGGATGTGGGGAAAAAGGTACATTCATACATTGTTGGTGGGACTGCAGATTGGTGCAACCACTCTGGAAAGCAGTATGGACAGTCCTCAGAAAACTTTGAATGAAACCACTATTTGACTCAGTTATCCCAATCCTCACTTTATACCCAAAGGACTTAAAATCAGCACACTACAGTGATGCTGCCACATCGTGTTTATAGTAGCTCAATTCACAATAGCTGAACTATGGAATCAGCCTAGGTGCCCTTCAACAGATGAATGGATAAAGAAAATGTGGTACATTTACATAATCAAATGCTATTCAGCCATAAAAAAATTAAGATGGCATTTACTGGTAAATAGATGGAACAGAGACTATCATGCTAAGTGAAATAAATCAATCCCAAAGAACCAAAGGCTGAATGTTTTCTCTGATATGTGGACACTAATCACATTAAGGTGGGGGAGGGTAGGGAAGAATAGAACTACTTTGGATTAGACAAAGGGGAATGAAGGGAAGGAAGAAGGAATGGGAATAGGAAGTAGAAAGAAATCAGACATTACTTTCCTATGTGCTCATATAAATACATAACAGTGAATGTAATTCCACATCATGTATAACCAGAAGAATGGGAAGTTAAACTCCTTATGTGTATGATAAGCCAAATATATTCTACTGTCATCTATAATAAGAACAAATAATGTACTGTATGACTAATGTTATTCTACAACATGTCCAATCAGAATAATGAGAAATTATGCTCCATTTACGTATGTTATATAAAAGTGCATACATGTTTTCTATGTTTGTCATGTATAACTAGAACAAATTTTAAAAATTAAAAAAAGTATGTTTTGAAAAAAATTAAAAGGTTATATACTCCCATCACTTTTATTATCTCTTCAAAAAATTTGTTTATGCTGTGTGTGTGTGTGTGTGTGTGTGTGTGTAAGAGTACTGGGGATTAAAACCTAGGCCCTCACAAGCATGTTTAAGTACATGCTCTACCATTGAGCTGTACCCCAGCTCTTGGAATCTTTTGTATTAAAGAAGTTAGTTAATAGATGCAAAAGTGGAGAAAAGATACAGGTATAATAAGCTCTCATCTACTTATTAAGAGTTATCAGCATTTTGTCTCTTACCTCAGCTATTCTCTCCTTGTGAAGGAGGCAGCATCAGACATTGTAACATAACATCTACACCAGTAATTACCTACGAATGTCTCTGGAAAATAAGATACTTAAAAAGAAAAAAATCACTACCACATCACCTCTATCACACTTTTAAAGTTTAACAGTTCTTAAGTTTTGTCTAATATCCATTCATATTCAGATTTCATTGCCTGTCTCAAAAATGTCTCATATTTAAAGGTGGGATTTTTGTATTGCGTTGGTTACATAACTTATCTTTGCCTTTCTTTCTCCCTCAACCTTAATCATTTTGTTGAAGAAACCAGGTCATTACATCTGGACTTAACTTCTTCCCCCAATACCATTTAACTTACTTCTCTGGACTCCCTATACCCTAAGCCATCTCAGCATTATAGGTATTGTTTACTGACTAATACGTTGATTGGTGCATTCTTTTTATAATGTAAGCACATAAACATATGATTGTTCAGATATGTCCACTTTGCTCCTGCATGGTAGGGCCATATACTGACTACTGTTCTGAACCTTGCTTCCTATTTTAACCCTTTGTCCTAGAGACATTCTCTGTTAGTACTTGGTGATCTTTCCTGTTCTTTTCTTTATTTCAGATTCTTTATAGTACTCCATTGTGTATATGTAGCATAGTTTTTAATGATATATGTGTGCATTTTGTTATTTCTTGAGATATAATCCTTACTTTGTGCATATGTGCTCTTTTTATTTTAGACTGGAACGCTTACTGAAGATGGTTTAGATCTCTGGGGGATTCAACGAGTAGAAAATGCCCGGTAAATATTAGCTGGATTTGATAGTTTATTAGTTAACTTTTCATATTTTAGCACATGCAGCATTCAGTTAAATAACAAATAAAATGAGACAACTGCATAACTACTGCCAAACTGAACAGTAATCATTTTGCCATATTACTTTTATTGTGGGGGGGTGGGTATAAGGGATTGAACCCAGGGGTACTCAATCAGTGAGCCATAATCCTAGCCTGTTTTATTTAGAGAAAGGGTCTAGCTGAGTTGCTAAGGGCCTTGCTAACTTGCTGAGGCTGTCTTTGAACTTGTGATCCTCCTGCCTCAGCCTCCTTAGCCAATGGGGACTACAGGCATGCACCACGTGTGCCTGACTATATTTACATTTAAAAGATTAAAATATTTCAGAAATTGTGTAGAAATTAGAGTCCCACTCTCCCTTTCCCTGGTGCTACTACCATTCTTAAATTATTTTTATTTTTGTATATTTTATATTTTTATTACCTACATAATCTGAGTAAACATACATGAGTGGAATGCTGTATGTGTTTTTGCAGCTTTTTCTGCCTTTCAGATTGTTTTTAATATTTATTCATGTTGATATGTAGATCTAATTTATTAATTTGAATAAAATTATTCTGATATATAATTAAACATAATGTCTGTTCTACTAAGACAATATCATTTTTTCTCCTTGCACTTTAACCATAATGCTACAATTAAAATTCTTGGACACAGCTTGTGACATGTCTACATAAGCCAGATCCTTGTAAGTGATAGCCTGGATTTGGCTTCAGCTGTGCTACCAGATATTGCCTGTTTGCTGCCTGGTGGATGGTAGTTCTTATTTACACTCTCCCTCAATAAAGAAGATTACAGTCTCCCCATTGCTGCATATCCTTGCTAAATGTAGTTTTATTGGACTTGTAATTTTAGCTGAATGAACAGATATGAAATGGACATTTATTATTACTTTATTTACATTCTTCTCATTACTTACAAAGTTAAGCATCTTCATATTTTTGGGGAGGAGAGTCATTTGTCATTCTCTCTGTTACCTATTTATAACTTTTTGTGTGGTTATTTTCCTTATTGTTAGAAGTCATTTGTATTTTTTGGGTTTTATATTAAATTTTTTTAGTATTGTGCATTGCACATTCCCTTAGGCTCATCTATTTACGTTTTTTTGAAGCTTAGAAGTTCTAGTACTATAGTTGTGCTTATATCATTTTTTAATCCCCTTAGAAATCTTCCAGATTTGGGTTTATATATTTTGACAGACTGTATTATTTGGTTATGTAATTTTAAGAGTTGTATCTTCTTGCTTGTTTATCTCAGTAATACATATTGCCTTAAATTCTATTTTGTTTAATATTTATGTAGCTACACACAGCTTTCTTTTGCCTAACACTTGCCTAGTATATCTTTCTCCATCTGTTTGCTTTTCAGTCATTGTGTTTGATGTACTTATTGTTATAGATTTACATATAAATATATTTAGATATATTTGAAATTATTTCTACTATCCTTCATCCCAAATTATATGCATATTTTTTTTATTTTCTCCTATTTCACTGTCTCTCATTTTCTCGGAATTTATGCATCCTTATCTTTACTGCTGGTTCTTAATTTCTTTTTTCATTTCTGCCTTCTGAAAACCCAGACTATAGATTACTTTTACCCTGCTTATTCCTCTCCTTTCTTAAATATATTTATTAATAGTGTTTCATGATTTTGATTTTATAAAGTCTGCATGTTTAGATTTGCCATTTTAAAAAGTTCCATTCCTCTGGATTAAGTTATCATTTTATGCAACTACATTCATGGATTTTATTTCATTGTCACTCATGAATGATGGTGTAACTATACAGGTATCTAGGTTGTCATTTCTGTTTTCTCATCACTTTGAAGGTGTTACTTCATTTCTCCTGACACTTTTGTTTTGTATGTGGCTATAGCTTTGTTTCCTATTCCTGTATTGTATTAAAATCCAAGTCCTTGGGGTATAGAGATGGCTTCCTCCCTCATTGGCCACAGCATCAGCTCATGTGCACAACCTTCCACTTTTCCTTTCCCTCTTTTTCTGGCACTTGGAACGCTTCCCTTTCTTAGGAGATCAGTTTTGGATTTAAAAGTTTGTCTTTGTTTCTCCAGCCCCTGCACTGGGGCTCAAACTCATGTATCCCCAACCCTTTATATATTTTTTTTAAATTTTGAGTCAGGGTCTCACTAAGTTGCTTAGGCTGGCTTTGAACTTGCAGTTGTCCTGCCTCAGCCTCCTGAGTCACTGGGATTACAGATGTGTTCCACTGTGCCCAGCTTGGATTTAAAAGGGTTTTGTTTTTATTTTTGTTTTTTTTTAAATAAAGTCTTGCTGTGTTGACCAGGCCGATTTCAGATTTGTGATCCTCCTGCCTGAGCTTCTCAAGTAGCTGAGATTATAGGCATGTGCCACCTTACCTGGCTTGAAAGTAATACTAAACTGAAATTGCCTGTTAGAATATTGTCTTGAGTCTAGGGATTTATGAACCTAATTCAGTGTATTTTCTGTTTAGATTTCTTTTACCAGAAGAAAATGTTTGCAATGAAATGTTGGTAAAATCTCAGTTTGTTGCTTGTATGGCTACCTGTCATTCACTTACAAAAATTGAAGGAATGCTTTCTGGTGATCCACTTGATTTAAAAATGTTTGAAGCCATTGGATGGGTAAGTTCAACATTTTAAAATATAAGTAACTTCAAAAAAATTATATTAAAATTAAATTTCTCTACAGTAGGATTATTTCTGTTGGTAGTTTTGATAACAGTCTATCTTAGAACTGTAAAAAAGAATCAACTATGGGGCTGGAGATGTGGCTCAAGCGGTAGTGCACTCGTCTGGCATGCGTGCGGCCCGGGTTCGATCCTCAGCACCACATACCAACAAAGATGTTGTGTCCGCCGAAAACTAAAAAATAAATATTAAAAAAATTTAAAAAAAAAAGAATCAACTATGAAATTTCTAATGATGGAGAAATATTTCTAATTGAATGAAAAGTATCTGTTTCAGCTGAATTCACACATTTAAATACCTTTAAAAAATGCTAATCACTTAGGCTGTGTTTAATGTTTATAAAGTAATTCAGGTATCTGTAGCTGGTGCAAATATGTTAGAAGTCAATAAGGAGGACCTTAAATGAGTCAGTAGGATGACTTCAGACCTCAATTTCTTGGCATTTTTCAGTTTCCTTCTGTTTTGTCACTGGTAATTTTAATTTATAAGTACTTATGGTTGTTACACTTTGACAGCATTCACTTCTTGTTTTTTTTTTTTAGGGGGGGCGGGACTGTGGATTGAACCCAGGGGGTGTTTAATTAACCACAGTCTTGCTAAGGTGCTAAGTAAGGGTCTTGCTAAGTTGCTGAGGCTGGCTTTGAAAAGCCTCCAAGTTGCTGGGATTATAGTCGTGTACCACTGCATTCAGCTACAGTATCTACTTCTTTTATAGGTGCAATAATAGGTTTTTAAAGATCCTTTCTAGCTTCTGAGTTATTCAATTTGTCTGGGAATATTTCCCCTGTTCCCCACTTGTTTGTTTTTGGTTTTTATTATTCAACTGGATGTTACTTTGCTATTCAAGTTTGAAGGTCTGATTTGATAATTCTGGGTAGTTGTAGTCAGATTTTTATTTTTGCCCATATGTCTCTTTTAAATCAGTTTTTATTAATCAGTATTTGAGTTTGCCTTTTGTTTACTATTTGAAATCTGCTCTAGCCCCTTCTTTGTTTTCTTGTTGTTGTTGTTTTTGTATTTTGTTAACATTTTGAAAGGGAGGGAGGTGGATGATACATACTCTGTCTGCTATCATTGAAAGTTCACAGTAAGTACTCTTCAAATTTAATTCCTGAAGAGGCGCCTCACTTTATTTATAGAGAGAGAAGCAAAATGGGTTGATTTATCTTTTTTGTTCTTTAATGCTTTTCTCCAGTAAATGGGTTTTCAGTAGATTTAGTGTTCAATGTTTGATCTTTTAAAAAAATTGTATGAATAAGTAAATTTGCATAATAGCATTTTTGCAGACCCTGAGATGTTTTGATACTTGACTTGATAAGATCTTATGTATCAGTTAATGGTTTCATATAACTAGGCATGAATGATCCTTGTAATTAATGTCATAAAAGTTACATCCCAATTCCAGAGACTTTAACATGTAGAGAGAAATATATAGAATTATATAAGATTGGTTAATTGGTCACAATTATCCTCATTTTTTCACTGATAAATCACTTCAGTTATAGTCAAATTAGTGTGTTGTTTCTCTTGAAAACAAGTTTAATATAGGGTTTTGTTTGAGTTAATTTATTTATTTGATGTTGGGGATCAAATCCAGGGCCTTGAGCATAGTAGCACATATTCTACCATTGAACTATATACCCCCATTTGAAATTTTTTTTTTTTTTAACCAAGGAAAATGTTTTTAAAGTAAATTTCAAGGGATTAAGGTAGTACTAGCCTAACAAGAAATGTTCATACTAAAACTCTAAACTCATATTTTGGTGCCTTAGTCTGTTCTCTACCTGTTCTATTAACTATATCTGTGAGCTCCATATACTGTGGAATCTTCTCCTGTTGGAGGAAAGGAGTCCTTAGGAGCCGCAAGAACTCTGTTTTCACAGAGCTATTATCTAAACCCAGAGGGTTGTAGGAGCAAAATGAGAGATGTTTGTCTCATTTCTTTTCTCAACTTCAAACCTCGTGTCTCCCTTATATCATGTGTTGCTAGGTATCTAACTATTTCCCTTTGTATTTTGTTTTACTTATGTGAGATAGCAGGGTTGTTTATTTTTTTATTGACTGAAAATGGCCATTATATTCCATTTAAAAATGAATTCAATGAACTGAATTTTATGAAGTGATACAGTGAATATTTTCCTTCCAGATTCTGGAAGAAGCAACTGAAGAAGAAACAGCACTTCATAATCGAATTATGCCCACTGTGGTTCGTCCTCCTAAACAGCTGCTTCCTGAATCTATACCTGCAGGAAACCAAGAAATGGTGCGAAATTGCTTAATGCTGGATAGTACTGTTGATGCATCCTTAACGTTTAATTGTCATTTTGAAATATTGCTAGAAGAGGGAGTCAGATGTCTTTCTCCTATGCAGACATCTATGTTTTAGTTGATTTATCAAACTATACCTTTGGTGTGCTATGTGCATTCTTTATAAAATGTTGAGATTTAATTCTCATGCCATTACTTTTCTTTCCTGTATAGTGAGCAGCTTTTAGTGTCTTATGACTTACATACATGATCATTAATCCTTTAAAATTACATCTGTATACCTAGAATTTCATGAAAAGAATATTTAAGTGATTTTTTAAAATTTTCCCTTGTAGCTTTTAATGTTTTAATATTTCTAGGATTCTAGAATATTTGAAAATTTTCAAGAACATAATGGTAGAGAAGGAATATCAAGTCTTGACTTTCAAATAATGAGGGATCCTTGATACTCTCCCAATGTCTGTGGATGCTTAAAGTTTTTTCTAACTTGACTACATTGATTGGCTTAATCTGTACTCTTTTCTTTTGGTTTTAGGAGCTGTTTGAACTTCCAGTAAGTGAAGAACATTTATTTGTTACCTAAATGCATTTGTTTTTATTGTTAAAGAATAATAAATGCTTGTGCATCTTTTGAAATTATATAGGCTATTTATGAGATAGGAATTGTTCGCCAGTTCCCATTTTCTTCTGCTTTGCAACGTATGAGTGTGGTTGCAAGGGTGCTAGGGGATAAGAAAATGGATGCGTACATGAAAGGAGCCCCTGAGGTCATTGCCAGTCTTTGTAAACCAGAAACCGGTAAGGAAATAACTAGGATTTGGATAAAATTCTGGTATTTCTGTAAGCTTGTATTAGTAGTGTTAACAGTGAAATTTACTTTTTCTTTTAAAAGTTCCTATTGATTTTGAGGAAGTTTTAGAAGATTATACTAAACAAGGCTTCCGTGTGATTGCTCTCGCACATCGAAAATTGGAGTCAAAACTGACATGGCATAAAGTACAGAATATTAGTAGGTAAGGTCCTACAATTTTCTCAGTAATGCATCATATATGTTTATATGTCAGTAAATACACATCTTTATTGAATGTATGCAAGTATATATAGCACATGTCCATTTATAATGCAATATGGTTTTAGACAACTGAGGTAAAAGTACATTTTTTTCCGATATCTAGTTTCCTTTTATTTTTCAAATTATTTATTTATTTATTTATTTTTAATAAACTTTCTTTTTTTTCTTTCTGTATTTTTATGTGGTGCTGAGGATCGAACCCAGTACCTCATACATGCTAGCCAGGTGCTCTAATGCTGAGCCACAATCCCAGCCTCTAATTTTCTTTTTATTTTATATTGACTTTTTGCCTATACTATTATAACATTGTATGCTTTTCCTTAAAAATGATTGAAACTACTTTAAATTTGTTAAGTATCAAGTGTTTACTGTGTGTCAGGCATGTTCTTGAAACATTGAGCAATTCTACAGAAGTTTCTTCTTCCCAGATAATCTTGTTTTGCCTAGTGTTTGGATCTAAACACTAATTTGGTAAAAAATGTCATGAGTCACAGTACCCAATACCGTTCCTCCACTCCATTTATCTCTGCCTCTGGTCAAATGGCTTTACCAACATCACATTTCTTTCTATATATAAATATGGGTTTCACATTCAAGAATTGCTACTTTTTGCCCATGAGCAGTGTCACATGCCTCTAATCCTAGTGACTTAGGAGGCTGAGGCAGGAGGATTACAAGTTCAAAGCCAGCCCCAGCAACTTAGGGAGGCCCTAAGCAACTTAGTGACTCTGTCTCAATAAATAAAAAGGGCTGGGAATGTGGCTCAGTGGGTAAGCACCCCTGGGTTCAATGTTCAATACCCGCCCCCCAAAAAAGAATTGTTACTTTTATTATAACTGGTTAAGACTTACCACTTGAAGATAGAGTTTTTGTTTAGGAACCTTATGATGTGCCTAATATTTTGCAAACAGAAAGAAATGTCCATTGGTTGTCCTGGTAATCTGTATATTTGAGGATATTCTAAGCATATGTTGGTTTTCCTGGTAATTCCATGTATTTGGGGGTATTCTAAGCATGTGTTTTTAAACAAAACAACTTCTACCTAGTGATCTGATGCACATGCATGGGCAGGACCCACAGATGTATAATAATACCTCCTAATTCCTGCAAAGGGCACATTTGTCTCTTTTTTCTCTTTATTATTTCACCTTTTGCTGTTTTCCTCTTAAAGATTAATTGGTGAATTAGCTGTAGTTCTCTAGCCTTTCATGTTTCACAGAGCCTTCCAAGCCTGTCAATAGGTTGTTTCTTTTGCCCAGAATGTTCTATCCCTCCCTATCAACTGTCTCTTTCTATTTCCTTTATTCTTCGTCCTTTAGTCACCAAGACCTCTGTTTTTGCATTCTGCCTTACAGAAATAAGCCTTTCTCTTATAGCTTAATCTTTTATATCTTGAACACTACAGTTTATTAGAGGACATGATTTCCTTAACTTGTATTATTCACAGGTGAGTTAGGAAATAGAAGCCAGGAAATAGAACCTTATAGGAAACCTGGTACTGTTGACCCAATAGTTTCACATTTGTACAACTTCATACTTAAGACAATATCAGGCTTCAAAGCTTTTTCTCCTTCCTTTACTACAGAGTGTCTTTCACTTTGTTTTCTATCTGTTCTTTAATATCTTTACTATTTATTGATATAGATTATATATTTCAAAGACATTTAGGTTGCATAAGTGTATACTCAGCTCCTTTACTATTGAATTTTTATGTAGACAAATTACTTAGCTAATTGCAAGTCTAAAATTCTAGTTGCTAACTTGATAAATAGGGAAAGTCCTCTTTCCCTATTGAAAAACATTTCTATGGTATGATTTTGGTAGCATGAAATTTCTTGAGAATGTGACTGTCATTGAACAGACTTCATCTTCATTATAACGCTGAAGTACACATTATTTTTGCATATTTCTCTAGTTACATGTCATTTCCCTCACTAAGTATCTTAAAAGTAGTGATCATTTATGCCTTTTTGTCTTTCACCTCCCAGTGATTGGCATAGTGGTGACTAGCATAGTGCTGGTGCATTCAGCTATACGAAGACTAGCATCTTGATAACTATATTGATTATCTGTATTCTCAAAGGCTCATCTCTGGATCTTGAATAGATCTCATTGTTGTACTTCTAATGGTTCTTAAATTTTCTAGGATTAAGAATTCTATTTCTTAGAAATTTTATAGTATTGAGACATAATAATGAAAATAATAGCAAATGTGCTTGTGGTACAGTTTTTTTCCCTTTTCTCTTGACATTTAAATTAGGTTATATTGTATGAAGGACAGTAAAGAATATATTTATGCTTATATTTGGATAGGATATAAAATGAACATTCCTAGACTAGTATTCCTAGTGCTAGAATAGATATTATTTCACAAAGATATAGATTTCCAAATGTTCCTTGTTTTTCATGTTTCAAAGTGTGGAATTTTATTTCAATATTTCAAAAGTATAGTTCTTGGAAATTGTTTTCCAGGTTTAAATTTTTTTGAAATATTGAACTTAGATGCACACATGATTTATTCAGCATATAAAATGTTTTACTTTATAATTTATAGATTTCAAAATGTTTTATTAACATAAAGAGAACAACATTGTTCTCTTGACTAAACCATTATGTGTTAACACTTTTTTTTCCTGCAGAGATGCCATTGAAAACAACATGGATTTTATGGGATTAATTATAATGCAGAACAAATTAAAGCAAGAAACCCCTGCAGTACTTGAAGATTTGCATAAAGCCAACATTCGCACTGTCATGGTCACAGGTTAGACTTTGTAAAAGAACACAGAAGAAAATTGAATGTGGCTATAAAGTCCAAGTTATGTAATACTGAGGAATGATAAGTTAGTTATTAAAGTATATTATGTAGTGGCTCCATCCTACATTGTCCTGCTTCAGCTCTGAATATCTTTCCAAGGTTTAAGATAATCTTGGAGTACTCTTCTTGAGGTCTTGCAAATTCTGTTTATAAAAAGTATGATTAAAAAAAGTATGATAAAATAATGAACACTATAAAATTTCGAACTTTCCTTTTTATTATTTCTTTAAATCATATATTTGTATAGCACTTAACATACCTTGCTGTATATTAGTTACTTGTAAATTAGTTTGTTAATTAGTTACTTTCTCTAGAATATAAAATTATTGAATTAAGAGCACGTTTTATCTATTTTGAGCTCCTTTACAATTTTCAGACCTGCCAGGTATATAGAAAATTATTAATAGATACTTGTTAGAATTAGATTTATATACATAGGTGTGTGTGCACATATATAAAATATTATCCTTACTTGAATTCATAATGACTTTCGAGGTTCATTTTGCTTTTTTGACACAATATTTGATTTTCTTTGGTGTTTTTATACTGTTGAAAATGTTACATAATTTCTATTCTTTAGCTGTGTGAAATTGTGCCAGCACTTTTCATAGTAAATAATCAGGTTTAAATTACCTTACTTTTTGGCATTTGTGTGATCAGTAAGACTTTTTGAGAAAAAACCTGAGGACATTTTTATGTCTTTAACTCCCAAGATCTAATAGCATACTTCTTACTGCATGGCTTAAGATAACTAAATCTATCAGTGTTCTGAAAATTCTTAATTATAATGTCTCCTTCAAGGCACTTTACATCTGTGTCTCCTTCTCCTTCGCCATGACAGAATGTGACTATTTCTCAAGGGCCACAGGAAGATACTCTAGGAAGTAGTCTATAGGAGATGGAGAAAGATATTTAACTCTTCAGTTCTGGTAGCAGTGGGATCCCCAAACCTTTGCCTACTTCTCCTGTCCTTGCTTCTCTTCAGTTCTTTCCTTCTCATGACTGAGAAGTTCTTTTTTACTTCTTATTACATCTATTCCTATTACCTGTCTTAACTTTTTGTTTTGTGTAATCTTGATTTTCTATCTAATCTTTTTCTGTGATACCACACTAGTATTCTTTCTCCTAGGATATTTCAGTGTTTATTGTGCATCTGCTGTATATTTTGCGTTGTGTTGTTTGTTATGGGACACAAATAGTGTCTGGAAAAGATTGTATTTGTATTTAGAAGTTGTGAGCAAGATTTTAGCATATATGTACTTTGCATCATTTGAGGCTTCCTTAATAAGTGTGCCTATTGATTTGCTTATTTTAAAACTTCCAAGGATAGCTGGGCACAGTGGCACATGTCTATAATCCCAAGGACTCTAGAGGCTAAAACAGAAGGATTGCAAATTAAAGGCCAGCCTCAGAAAATTAATGAGTCCCTCAGCAATTTAGCCAGACCTGTGTCAAAATTAAAAATAAATAAATAAAAGACTCCCAAGGATCAAGGATGTAATCCTCATTCTTCCCAGCCCAGTCATAGCGACTCGATTTGATTCTCAGAAAATACTTGTTTGATACACATTCATGTTGTAATTTTAATCTTAATACATTGAAAATATTTCGAAAAATAGGTGACAACATGTTGACTGCTGTCTCTGTGGCCAGAGACTGTGGAATGATTCTACCTCAAGATAAAGTTATTATTGCTGAAGCATTACCTCCAAAGGATGGGAAAGTTGCCAAGATAAATTGGCATTATGCGGACTCACTAACACAGTGCGGTAATTCATCAGCAATTGACTCTGAGGTAATGTCAAAATTCTCTTTTGAAGCTTGCTTATTTGAATTTAGTCTGGAAAAAAAGAAAAATGGTGTATTAAAACAAAACAGAACAACAACAACAAACAAAATCTAAATAAAAACAGAAACCTCAACTAACTCCCCAAAGATTCATTAGGACTGAGGAATCCCATTTTTCTTTTCTTTGAGTAAATGTTAAAGTCTTAGTGTCTTATATGAAATATATGGAATAATTTAGTTTTGGAGGAAATACATTTAAGATAAGATTATGTTTTTTGGTTTGGCTGTCTAAGTATTGTTCTGCATGTTTCATATACAGGCTATCCCAATTAAGTTGGTTCATGATAGCTTAGAAGATCTTCAATTGACTCGTTATCATTTTGCAATGAATGGAAAATCATTTTCAGTGATATTGGAGCATTTTCAAGACCTTGTTCCTAAGGTAAGTGATAAGGAGTTTATGGACATGTTCATGATTATATGTGAACAATATTTTTAATAAATTTTAATTTTTTCCAGTTGATGTTGCATGGCACTGTGTTTGCACGTATGGCACCTGATCAGAAGACACAATTGGTAGAAGCATTGCAAAATGTAGAGTAAGTATTGGTGGATTTTATGTTTTGGAATTTTTAAAATGGTACTTGTGGATTTTTTTTTTCAATAATGTTTATTACATAACAGGTTGAGCATTTTGAATCCAAAACTTCAAAACTGAAATGCTTTTTGAGGGTTCAGTAAAATTTGGAACATCTCAGATTTTGTGTTTTCAGATGAGGGATGCTCAACTGTTAAAATAATCTAAGCAGATATGTCAAAATCTGAAAAACCTTGAAATCTGAAACACTTCTTATCCCAAGCATTTCAGATAAGGTATATTCAACCTTTGTATGTGTATGTACTTACATGCAAATAAATAAATGTCACCTGTAATACAGGTGGTAAGAACTTTACGTGCCTCTTTTAAAGGAAGACTCATGCTCATTTGTTTCACTAAAAGTATAGTATCTACCCTTCCTCTCTGGGTAATATCTAGGTAGAGTTCATTCATTCATTCAGGTGCTCTATCTTTTTAATTTTAGGGAACAATTGTTTTAATTTTTTAAGGAAAAATGGTAGCCTTAATAATAAGTTTGTTAAAGAATATATGGGCACAAGTATTTTGCTCTAAAGATGAGCAAATTGAGATATTAGCCCATTTTATGACAAACAAATCTGTATCCCAGGTCCTTTCACTTTCAGGCCAATTCTACTGGCAAAGCATTGTGCCCATGTTCACTGTAATGAAAAGATTCAGTAGTTTCATCCCAGAAATCTCATCTTCTGTTAGCTTTTCATAATTCTGTATTAGAGAAATCTTATTAAGTTAAACACTCTATTTTAAGAAATTAAAATTATAAAATTATTTTCTTTCTTAGTTACTTTGTTGGGATGTGTGGTGATGGTGCAAATGATTGTGGTGTAAGTATAGATTTTCTGACTTACTTTTGTAGTTCTTGCTGTAGCCTAAATTACATTCATAAAACTTACCAGTTTTCTTAAAACCATTAGGCTTTGAAGAGGGCACATGGAGGCATTTCCTTATCAGAGCTTGAGGCTTCGGTGGCATCTCCGTTTACCTCTAAAACTCCTAGTATTTCCTGTGTGCCAAACCTTATAAGGTAATAAAAACTGAATTTTTTTTTTATTTTGTACTACTGATTAAAAAGGGCAGATTATGATTAAAAGTAATGCCAATTTTTTAAAAATAGTAGCACATATGATGTGTAATTTATTAGTTAATAGATTGCTACTACTCATTTGTTCCAATTCTCCTTTTGATTAGGTTTTTTGGTAGACAGGTGCTTTGTTGTAACGGTCAAATGTTGTTCATCTGTCAAGATACACTTGTGTTTTGGAGGAGGAGCTTAAAATGCACTTATTCACATGCTGACGTTTCTCTTCACAGGGAAGGCCGTGCTGCTTTAATGACTTCCTTCTGTGTGTTTAAATTTATGGCATTGTACAGCATCATACAGTACTTCAGTGTTACTCTTCTGTATTCTGTGAGTACTAACAGTGTGCACAGAGTTGGGGCTTTATGTTAAGACACTTTAAGATATTAGCTATTAATGCAGATTGGACAGCTTTGTTTCACTCTTCAAAATGTAATTCCATGGCATATTTTTACAGTTCATTATATGTTCACAGGAAAGGCCAGAGTAAGGAAAGATGTTTTAGCAATAGTTTGCAGAGGCCAGGCACAGTGGCACATGCCTGTTAACTCCAGCAGGTTGGGATGCTGAGACAGAAAGATCTAGAGTTCAAAGCTAGCCTCAGCAGCAGTGAGGTGCTAAGCAACTCAGTGAGACCCTGTCTCTAAATAAAATACAAAATAGGACTGGGGATATGACTCAGTGGTTGAGTGCCCCTGAGTTCAATCCCCAGTACTCCCTCCCCAGCCCCACCCCCTGCCACTGCCGCCACACACAAACACACACACACACAAAAAAAGTTTGTAGATCTGTGCGTTTGCAGGAAAGAGAGTAAACAATGATGTCTAGATATCAGAGTTTATAATTGAAGTGATTTTAGTGTAGATTTTTCTCCTAATGAATGTTAATATCCCAAGGAATTTGTGTGAGCTATCCTCTTCAAACCATTTGTAGAAAGTCTCATAAAAGATGGTGTTGCATATTAAGAAAGTTTCAAGATACTAATTTCCAAGTATATTGAATAATTTAAAGTTTTGTTTTTGCACCCCCAGCCCTCCACCCACAAAAAAAATCCAAAAAACTTTTAAGGTTTTTTACTGAAATAATTTTAAGAGATGCCTTTTATAGTAATATCTTAAATCACATTTTTATAAATGTGTTAATGTGGATTAACTTCAAGGCAAATATATTTGAGTTTTTAAGCAGGTCCTTTTGAAGTTGTCATAATGGGGGAAAATAATCTATGACTTGGGAACAATGCTGTAAAAGTACTTCTTGGAAAGTAACTGTTTTAAAATTACTTCTATAGATCTTAAGTAACCTAGGAGACTTCCAGTTTCTCTTCATTGATCTGGCAATCATTTTGGTAGTGGTATTTACAAGTGAGTATCTTGCTTTGTTACTGGTTTCAAAGTATTATGAAATTCTGATGTGATTTATTAATCTTTGGTAAATTTACATCAGCAACTGTAACATAGTTCATCTCTCCCAGAATCCCTGTAAATGTGCTCTTTTATTGCTAATTGTTTATATCTTGTCTCATTTGTTTTATTGTTCTCCCATTTTTCCCTCCAAAATATTTGTAAGTTTTGAGTCATCATGCATGCCCCTTTGCCACTGAATGTTTTAGTGATTCTTTCCTTTTTGTTTATTTTTTATTTTACTTATTCTTTTTTTATATATGACAGTGCAATTCATTACAATTCTTATTACACATATAGAGCACAATTTTTCATATCTCTGGTTGTATTTAGTGATTATTTTCCAAAAGCAGGTGTAGTTACAAAGATCAGAAATTTAACATTGATAGTAACAGTACCTAGTCCAAACTCCACATTTAGTTTTGTCACTTGTTCCAGTAATTTCCTTTGTACTTATTTTCTCACTTAGATTAGAACCCAGATATAATCCAGGCCCCCAGATTTCATTTAGTTATTACATCTTTTTAATCTTGTTTTTTTATTCCAGAATAGTCCCTCAGGTTTTTTTTTTTTTGTTTTTTTTTTTTGACATATATGAATATGGGTTTGTCTGATTTATGCTCTTTAGATGGAAGCTATAAATTTTTGGAGGGAATGTAAGAAGTGATGCTATGTCTTAAATGCATCACATAAGGAGACACAAGGTATTAGTATGTTATAGTAATGGAGTATGGCCAATTGAATCAAATAAAAATTCACAGTTCCATTTATGCTATAAGCAAATAAATATTTGGGAGATAAGAGAAAGCTCTTGTTTAAGGAAAATGCTAATAGAAGAAATGTTTGACTTGGACCATAGTGAGACCCTGTTCTTATTGATATTTTAAGCAGATAGCTCATTATGGGGAGCTTTCTGTGCACTGTAGGATGTATAATATAATCTTTGTTCCTCTCTCCACTACCTGCTAGTAACCCTTTCCAAGTATGCCAACCAGAATATCTCCAGGCATTACCAGATCTTCACTGGAGGTGTAAAATCACCTTTGAGAACTACCAAGTTAGACTAAATTTTGCCTATCCTATTCCCTCAGCCTGCAGAGTTGCTGGGATTACAGGCACTTGTCACCGCATCTTTGTTAATTTTTCTCCAGAGTAGTTGTAGTTTTGCAATTGAGTATTCAGAAAATAATGAACTCTTTCTTAGTTATATAAAGGTGGTGATTAATTTTATAATTTTTGTACTTTTAGTTTTTTTTTGAAACTAGTGTTTTTTTCTGAATTTCAGTAGAAATATAAAAACTGCTCCTCAAGCATTTTTGCAAAACTTAGATTGTTTACTTTGAGAGATTATTTAAATATGTATAATATCTGGCTTGGTGTTTGGAAATTTTTCTTATTAAAGAAATTTAGCTAAAACAAATTCAAAGGTTTCCAAATGAAAACATGCATGGTGATATATGCCTGCAATCCCAGTGACTCTGGAGGCTGAGGCAGGAGGATCACAAGTTCAAGGCCATCCTCTGCAGCTTTTGGAGACCCTATCTCAAACTGAAGAATAAAAAAGGGCTGGGGATGTAGCTCAGTGGTGAAGCACTTCTGGTTCAATTACCAGTACCAAAATAAAAATTTCCAGATGTTTTTTATTATATCTTTTATTGTGACTAATTGAGATACAAACCTCTTTTTCTTTTCAATATAGTGAGTTTAAATTCTGCCTGGAAGGAACTTGTGGCACAAAGACCACCTTCAGGCCTTATATCTGGGGCCCTACTCTTCTCTGTTTTATCTCAGATAATCATCTGCATTGGATTTCAATCTCTGGGGTTTTTTTGGGTTAAGCAGCAGCCTTGGTATGAAGTATGGCATCCATATTCAGAGTAAGTTGGTTTCTTCCTGTAAAAATCTTTGTAATATGTGCAATATGTGTGCATATAAAAATGAGTCCAGAAATGTATATAAAAGTTTTCTTGTGGCTTGATTCAAACATGTAATTTGGCCTATATTTGCCTTCTTGTCACAGTAACTCCTATCTGTAGGGATGTGTCTTAGTCTCCTTTTTGTTGCTAATAACACAGTACCACAGACTAAGTTGTAAAGAAAAGAGATTTTGGGGTATGGTTTTTGATCCAGGTTGGAGGAGCTATATCTGGTGATGGGTCCTTGCTAGTAGTATCCCTAGGCAGTGAGGGACATCACATGATAAAATACAAAGAGCTCAAGAGAGACATAGCCAAACTGACTTTTCTAACAGGCCACTCTCAATAGCCCATTGATTCATTAATCACATAGTGGATTAATCTATTCATAGGGTCCTAATCACTTCTTGAAGTTCCTAATATCTCATAATGGGGATTAAATTTCAGCATGAGCTTTGAGGGGACAAGCCATATTCAAACCATAACAGTATATTCAGGCAAAATCCTGAGATCTTAGATAAAAATGTTGCTTAATTTGCTACTTAGCTTTTGAGTTTCTTATCTGTACAGTGAAAAAGTTGAAATTGATCTCTAGTGTTTCTTCTAAAACCAGAATGTTTGTGCTTCTAACTTTTATAAACTTTTTTAGGAAATGGCATTTTAGAACATTCTTAAAAAATGATATTAGGTATTTCTATGTATTTTTTGGAGTACTCTACATTTCACAAATTATGAAAACATGATTTTTTTCATTACACATGATTAACTATCAGATTAAATTTTTGGATGTAAATATTTTTTAGTTTCCTTGAATAAGGGAGATTGTCATTAAAAAAATCAGAAAAATTTAAAAATTTAATTTTTTTATATGTCCATACTAACACTGTCCACTGTTGAATCATCTTGAGACTCTCTCCAGAATTAATTTGTAAACTTGATTAATATTTTGTTACCACTTACCTGTGTACATTTAGGTAATGTTTTAATCATGGGTCGAGACTTCTGATAGTTATTTCGCGCATGCCTGATAGTGCTGCCCACCTGGAAGTAGAATTGAGAGTGAGCTATCAGTAGAGAATATTGAAGGCCCCCAGTTTTTGTTAGCCACTTATAAAGTCTTCTTAGTTCAGTCCTCACAGTAACTCTCGTAGAACAGGTAGTAACCACAGGTGAGGCTGTTGACTCCCAGATTGCTAAATAATGGCAGAACCAACTGGGCACGGTGGCGCACACCTATAATCCCAGTGGCTCTAGATGTGGAATCAGGAGGATCAAGAGTTGAAAGTCAGCCTCAGCAAAAAGTGAGGTGCTAAGCAACTCAGACTGTGTCTCTAAATAAAATACAAAATAGGGCTGGGGACGTGGCTTTGTGGTTGGGTACCCCTGAGTTCAATCCCTGGTACCTCACCCCCACAAAAAAAGGGCAGAACTAAAGTCAAGTCCTTGTTGTTGATTGAACATTTTTTCAAATTTGATATCAAAATTTTAACTCATTGTAATGTCTGGCTACTGAGAAAACCCTCATTAAATTCCTCATTATTGTCCTACCTGTTGTGTATCTTACATTGATATAGTTGCACCTTTTGCTATTAACAGAACCTTATTTCTATTTGTTATAGTAATGATTCGAGGCATCTAGGGTAAAATTTATTTCTTTGTGGGAAATGGGTGTTGTGTTTACTAACACAGATTTTTTGTGTGTGTGTGTTCTAGTGCTTGTAATACAACAAGAAACCCACATTGGAATTCTTCACACATGTATAATGAAACTGAACCTGATTCACACAATATACAAAATTATGAAAATACCACGGTGTTTTTTATCTCCAGTTTTCAGTACCTCATAGTAGCAATTGCCTTTTCAAAAGGAAAACCTTTCAGGCAACCTTGCTACAAGAATTGTAAGTTTGACTTTTATTGTGATTTCTACCCTGCGCCTCTCCTTTAAAAATACTGGTGAAGAGTTTTTATTGTCTTCCCCAAAGTTAAAATAGATCACAGATGGAAATAACTTAATGATTTAAATGCTTACTGTCTTGTTTTACTTTCATGAGAGTTGCCACCCTAAATTTAAAATTGAATCCACCAATATTAAATATTTCTGGTATTCATATTCTGTTACCTTTCGCTCTTTTATTTTGGCAACCCATTACAGAGGGAGTTAGGATTGCAAGGAGGATCAGATGTCCTCAAGGGAGACAGTGGGTGTTATACTTCCTTCTGGGTAGTCTGCTAAGCACCAACTAACTTTTTATTTTCTTTGACACTGGTATGGCCAGTGTTCACCTCTAGAATTCTTCATTTCTGTCACCTTTACATGCTGCTGCAGAAGGGGTCATTACAATGAAGGTTTGTGCCTGTTTGGACATATCTGCCTGTGGCAATAGCCCATACAATTTTAAATGATCAAAGTTAGTATTAATGGACAAAATCACTGATTATGTAATTGAAGTCTTTAAAAATTGAGAACATATTATTAATGTATGGAACAACATTTAGACTTTTGCAGTATGTCAGAGTGAATAATATGCTTTATTTATTTATTTTTTGCTCTAGTTGTGGAGAGACATCAGTGTTCTGCTTGGCAAAAATGCCAGCTCATAGATTTTCGCATGTCATGGGAATAATAACTATCAGAATCTCTTCAGTTAGAGTTGACAAAGCATTTTCACATATATTATATTATATTATATTATTTTATTTAATTAATTAGTTTATTTATTTATTTATCTTCCACCCTGTGTGGTTTGTAGGGCAAGTTTATTTTGGAAGGGTAAGATTGAAATTTGTTTTTAAGGGTGACTTTTCTTTTTGGAACTGATGTTTCTTATTTAACAAGTAACTATATTATTATATTATTGTATTTGTTACGTATATTACTAGTAACTATGTTACTGAGTCATATAAAAGCCATATCAAAGAAAGACTTATCACTATTTCTAATAGGACTTTATAACTAAAGATAATTTGTTATTTTAAGATGATCTTAAAATCAAAGCTGATATACATAATCTTATTTTTAGTTCAATATTTTTAAATTTCAAGGAAATATTAAGCATGTTCAAAGGCAGCTGTAAACATCTACAAAACAACAATGCCTTTTTTCCCTTTAATATGAAGAAAACTGATACTCAGACTACATTATAAGTAAGGTGGCCCTATCAGGAATATTAATTGTAGGAATCTAAATAATTGTACTCTATCCATACATCTGTTATTGGGAAAAGAGCTAGAGGTGAATATTAGTCATTTTTCCCCTCCCTTCCTCTCCCTCTCCCCATCTCCCTGGCCCCACTCCTGTGGCACTCCCCACCCTTTACAGTGCAACCCAGGGCTTTGGGTACTCAACCACTGAGCTGCAGAGCCATACCTCCAGTCCCAAGTTGCCTATTTTTAAAATGTGTCTTTTATGTGATTTGGAAAAGTTCAAAGGAGTTTTGTACTCCTGTATAATTTCAAATTGCATAGATAATACTTTATTATTGACCACTGGACTAATTTTGAAGAGTATTAAAAATTCAATTTTAGGAAATATAATCACAAAACCATTGTCCTTACTATAGGAAGCTGTGCACTTCTGACAATGAATAAGGATAACTACATCCTAGTATAAAAAATGGTGTCTGGAAGTTACAAATGGAACTGTACAGTGTACTGTATATTTTTGTTAATTTTCACCTCTAGCCTCTTTGTCATTGAAGTGCATTGTTATTGGAGTTCATTGTAACAATTCTTTGCTAGGATATGTTGGTTCTTGTTATATCTAGTTATTATAATACATTACATTTATTTTGAAATTTTTTTTAAAAATTAATCTCCATCTTAGGTGTTTAGGGCATTCTTTCCTAAGCTCTTAATCCTTTTCTGTTTCAGTTTCATTTTAGATAAAACTTAATTTCAGCTTGTAGTTGAAATTTGTTTTCAATTTTAGCTTATGCAGTTACATTTTGTAGTATGTTTGCCTATGCTTTTATTGCAACAGTTACAGTTATACACACTTAATTCTTCTACTCCAACGAGGTGTAATTTCTGAGGACTCAGCTAGTTTTGCTTGGTCTTTATAGTTTACTGCTTGTTGAATTCAGTCCCTTTCTCTGTCGTAAAGATGTTTTTGCTAAAATGCTAATTTCTCTCCTGTTCAGGACTTATGTATCGTTTTCCTGTTCATTTGACAATGTCTTAATTGGTGGGAACAGTTCAAATACTTTATATACTCTACAGAATAAGGTGGTTTTTCAAAGACAAGTAACTGAGTAAAGGAAGAGAGGATAGCAATAAAAAGACTTGATGTCTGGTTATAGGTCAGAAGGGCCAAGTTATTGTTGAAGAAGGAATGGGAAAGAATAAAAGGTAGAAAGGTGTATATCAGGGTTCAATATTATATGTTTATTTATATAAAACTGCCAACAATCTGCCTCTCCTATTACATAATAGCTTTTTTGAGCAGTGCCTGTTCTTTTTCTCTAGGCTAAACAAAAATAGACTCAATTATTTATTTTCCCCTTCACATAGAAGGCTTGGCAAATTTTTAGGAGCAGAATCAAGGACTGGCTCTGGGAGTAGAGAGGAATTTTTGAGAAGCACTCTTTAGATGTAAAGAATTTCTAAGGCTGAGTAATTTTCTCTTTCCAATTAACACTCATGTGTCAGGAGTCAGATGAGAGATCTAGTTTTTCTATTGTTTTCAAAATGCAGTAAATTTGAAAAATATTTGGTGTGGGTCATTCTTTATTTGAAACTCTCTCCATGTTTTTCTGGCATTTGTTTTCTTATCATGTCTTTCAGTTCTTTTCTCATTTTATCCTTTTTTGTTTGTGCTTCCAACCTGCACTTTCAAAATACTTTCATCGACTGTACAAGCTTCAATGACTAACTTACATATTACTTTAGTTTCTGCATTTTTGGAATGGAACATGACATGTCCTAATTGCAATTTCGTAGAATTTTTTTTAAAAATTACAAATCTAGAAAAAGTGCTTTTTATCCAGCACAGGTCCCCAATTTTTAAAATATCTCATAGTACAATGCTTTCCCACTTTTTGGCATGACTGTCAGTATAACTTTCAGCCAAAGCTGTTATATATATCTACTGTATATATCACACACATGCTCACAGAGTGTAGTTTCTGTACAACAGTTTCTATAGAACAATAAGAATTGGCCTATGGATTTAAACTGACATCAACAAAGTTGTTATTCACAGATTACTCCTACATTTAAAAATAGCATTGAGAGCCTTCATTTACTGTCAGTAAGAAGGACACTAACTTCTTTAACCCTATCTGAAGGCTTTGTGATAAGGTCTTGGTAATATGTGGCCTTAGTTAAAATTTGACATTGAAGTTGACTTCAAATAGCAACTTGTAAATAAAATGCAGATCAAAGAAAAAGGAGGGAAAATGTTTGGGGTTGCAAATACAATTGGGACATTTCTGAGCCTTTCATGGCTATAAACGGGGATGTATGTGTGTGTGTGTGTGTGTGTATACACACACACATACATACATACACACAAACATACAAATATGTATGCACATGCTGAACAAAATGACCGTGCATATGTGTATGTTTTATTTTTGAGTTAAGAAGTGGACATCAAGTGTTACTGGAGGTCTTTGCCATTCCTAGCTTCCATAGGAAAGCCATAAGGTTAGCCTTCATTTAAAAAACAGTAGATCAACTCATTCTCACCTTTTTGGCTAACACCTTCTGAAGGAATTTTTCATGAGTAAGTTAGTGAAAATGGGGTTCACTTGCCAGAGATTAGGATTGTGGCATACCTAATACTGAAAATGTCATTCATCATTTTTAAAATCAGTAGTTGTCATTGAATACTAGTTTTAAATGATAATCTTGTTTTGCCATACATTGACTGGTCTCTTATTTGTAAATTATGTTTTTTTTTTTTTTTTAATATTGTTGTTTAGCTATCTCTCTGGGAGACATAAATGCCAGTAATCTGAATTTTATTCTTAAAGTATTGATTATTTTCTGAAATATCATTAAAGTTTAAGTTAATGGCTTTAAAATATGTATATCTCATCACATACATGAATTTATTGGGGACCTAGAACAATCTCTCCTGTTGTAGGAAATAACAGCAGCACATGCTTTATATATTTCATCAGCTAAATTCAAATGAATTTAGAAATGACAGTATGCCACTGTTGGATCCCTTTTTATGAACTTCCTAATTTGTTTTACTTTCTTTTCCAGATCTTTTTGTTGTATCTGTGATTATTTTGTATGTTTTCATATTATTCATCATGTTGCATCCAGTTGCCTCTATTGACCAGGTTCTTCAGGTAAGGTTTAAGCACATCATTTATGACTAGTCTCATGGTTGATAGTAATTGAAAGTGACACTGAAATATTACATGGGATCTAAATGACTAAATGAAAGTTTTGGATGTTTGATGGAAGGGCTTAAGATCTGTCCCACTCCTTTGCTTTTTTTATGTTACTAAAAAAGAGACTAAACTGCATCCATTTCATTTTCCCAAGATCTCTTCTTTTCCTTTTTTCTAAAATAGAGTAACCTAAAGACACTGTGAAAAAAATACAGAACATAACTGAAATAACAGCTTTTATTGACTATACATGTTCAGTCTGTTTCTGGTTCCATTCCCTTTGTCAAGCAAGTGTTCCTTGAACTTTAAAGACTTTTTAAAAAGCCTTGATCCCAATATTTCCTTACTTTTTCATCCTTGATACTATTTCTTGAGTGATCTACATGTGTTCTCTTTTGTTTACTTGCTGGTCATGTAGTTGTTTCTTTTAATTAAAATTATGAATGATGACATGAAAATATATCTTTATAGAAAAGAAAATACACATTTAAGATGTAAAGCATCATAAAAAGTTAGTAATAAATTAAAATCATCATTCAGCCTAAAAATAGATAACATCACCAATCAAAGGTGTTTGTGTATCTTTCTTCAAATACTGTGAGGGAACCTGTATTCTACTTTTTTCTCCTTATTCTGTTTTTTTATTTTGTATTTACTATATATGTATGAGGTCATAAAAAACAACTTTACTTGCTTTCAACTTTATGAAAATATTTTGCTCTTTGTATTTTTGTGACTTTTCATCATAAATACTGTTTCTAAGATTGTCCCTATTTATTAGTTTATTTTATTTTCACTATATAGTATTCCATTGTAGGATACTGTAATTGACTTTTCCATTCTTTATAGGCAAATAGTTGGGTTGTTTTAGTCTTTTCTTATATTAATAGTACTGCTATGTCTCTTATTGTGTTAGGGTAAGTAATGATGTACCAAAGAGCTGCTACAAGCAACAAGGGAATGGTACAGTACTTGTAGAGAATTCAAGACAGTAATAAAACCCACCAAAAGTCCATCTGCTTTTAAATCTTACCATGTACTGTTGATTCCAAACAGTGTCAGTGATACATACTTTTTCTACTGCTACGTATCCTATTCCTACAGTGTCACTAGAGATAAAAGAGTTTCTCTGGTGAATTCTGGTATAATTTTGAGTTCCTACTCTTCCACCTTCTAAAGTATGCTAAGTTGCTTTCCAAAATGATTGGATCAATTTATACTTCCATGCTGTATGAAATCCTGTTGTTCACACCATTGCCAACTAATCTGTCTTCCACCCCTGCCAGTCTACAGAATTTTCCCTTACCAAGGTTATTAACAGCCTTCTTACTGATGAAGTCCAATGGACTTGTGTCCTTAACATTTTCCCTCTGCTGTCACTGACCTCCCCAGCAGTGTTGACCTATGTACCCATGTCATTATTCTTGAGCCATTTGCCCCCTTGGATTTTGTGATACTGTGTTCCCTTCAAGCCCTTTCATGCGTCTGTGACTCCTTTTTCTGATTTTCCATTTTGGTTCTAGTTCTACCCCCTTCATTTATTCCTTAAACATTAATGGTCTTCATCTGGGTGATCTTATGCTTCTTTTCACTCTAAATTCTCTCAATCTCACTTATAGTCATAGCTTTACCCACAGTTGCCATCCATATGTTATAGACTCCCTGTGTTTTTTTTTTTTGAGATTAGACCCAGGTGTGCGCTGCCACTGAGTCACATCTTCCAGGCCTTTTTACTTTTTATCTGAGGCAGTTTTTTTATTTTGAGGCAGGGTCTTGCTAAGTTGCTGAATTAGCCTTTAGCCTGAGATTCCCCTGCCTCAGCCTCCTGAATTGCTGGGACTATAGATGTCCTCCACCACACCTGGCAAGACTTCCTACCTTTATACCCCGGGCTTATCCCTCACTATTGAACTTTAGACATAGCCATTTATATATCGATTATTACTTAAAATGCTTCAACCAACAGTTCCCCAAATTCAGCATTTTTAAAACTAAGCTTACTATGTTCTTCTCCTTCCACGCTGCTTCTTCCCTTTTTCTTGATATCACCATTTATCCAAGTTGGAAGTAAGTTTGTGTGTATCTATCTGTACTTGTCTTTTCTTGTTTTCGTAGCCAGTCAATTGTTAGTTTCAGTTTCCTTATTCTGAATGTAGTTCTGTCTTTACTCCAATCCCATTTGCCACCCCTCTATTGGGAACTCTAATTGTCTCTTACCTGGGTCATTTTACCAGTCTCCTCACCTCGGGCCCTTCTTAATGGAGCAATATTTTTCTAAGTGTATTGGATCATGCCACTTAGCATATAGCATAATATCTTTGGTATTCAATAATATAATTTTGTTGACTAAAAGGTAGATGTATTAGAAGGATTTTTTTTGCTTTTATTTTTTAGATCTTAGAAATTAATCAGGTTTTAGTCTGGTTCAATAGTGTGCATTTGTATTCCCAGTTACTCAGGAGGCTCAGGCAAGAGGATCACTTCAGCCTAGGAGTCAAGAGCAGCCTGAGCTATATAGCAACACACACACCCTGTCCCCTGTAAAAGGAAACCAAAAATAGAAATGAATTGTATTTTAAAGTGAGAACTTTATTGTATTTCTTAAATTGATCTGTAGCATTCCTTATGAGTTTTCTTCATAGTAACGTGAGATTTGACCATTATTTCAATATTAGATTAGTGTCTGCCTAAGTGTTAGAAGACAGGTTTTTATTTTTAAAAATAATGACTTGTTAGAAATTTGTCATCTGGGCTTTCTAGTCTGAGTGAATAGGATTTGATGCCAAGTTCATCCACTTGGTATTATTTTTAACTTTGAATTACTTAAAATATTATCATCTGAAAAGATACAATAAAAACTTCGTGCCATTGTTGAGGGTTAAGTGGATAATGTGTTTGTAGGTGTTTGGTACATAATAGAAATTCAGTAAATGCAGAAATTATGATATAATGTCAACTAGATAAAACAACTTTAAAATTTTTTGTCTTACAGATAGTGTGTGTACCATATCAGTGGCGTGTAACTATGCTCATCATTGTTCTTGTCAATGCCCTTGTGTCTATCATGGTGGAGGTAAGCACTTTTGATAGTCAAATGGCAATCTTGTTGTTTTGCATTCTTGGGTGATTAAATGGTGAATGGGTGAAAGAGTACAGGTAACATTAGAAGCCCATAGTCGTGAGTTTCATTTTAGGCAAATTAATTTAGCCTTCTTTTTTTTCCCTGACTTTTTCCTTGAAAAATATGATAATAATAATATTAAGAGATTTGACTTAGCTGCACTCTTGCAGATAGTGCATGAGAAACTATAAAGAGTGAGGTAGCAAAACTGAATGTTGAGTAGAAAGGAGAAAAGTTTGTTGGCCAGGCAGGCCTTGAAAAGTAGAATGCCTGATTTAAGGATTTAAATCGGTGGGGAGGTTCTTTGGGAAATCTAGTGACTATTATGCTGAGTTTATTGAAAGTATAAAATAATGACCATTGTGGACTTAACTAATTTTGCCATTGGTTACTGGCACTTCCTCCTTGATATTTACTTTTAAGCGACCTCTAGAAGTCTTAAGTACTCTCTGATTCATTGTATATATTTTATTTCCTATTATGATTGCCTTTAGGTCAGCATCTCTAAAAGAAATTAGCAAGTTCTCACTTGCTGCTTATTAATCAACTTTGCTCTGCCCTCAGAACTATGATCAGAATTCACTCCTACCACAGCAATATAAGAAACAGATGAGGGAAATTAAGTTGTGATCTTTAAGTTTAAGGAATAGGCTTTTGAATGAAAATTAAGATACTTTGTGGGGAAATGTGTGTTTTAGAGATCATAGTTCTAGACTTAGAAATTATGCTCAATTTCAGTCATTACACCAAAAGATGAGTTGGTATTGAATTTGAGATATGATTTGTAGAATAGATATTCTGGGAGATCTTTTTAAGCTTGCCTGGTGCATTTTTCCACTGAGGATGCTAGAAAGCACATTTAAGAGAGAGTATCTAAAAATGTACCTTTGTCTGTAGAATATAATTTCATTTTTTCACTCATTATTATTAATATCTAATATATTATTTGTGTTGGATGCTAGTGAAATCATACTTGTGTATAGGTATAGACAATAATAGTAGATATTCAGTAAAAATGCATTGTTAAGAAAAAGGCTTCAAATTAATAAGCATTGTTTTAATATGGATAAGCATTGAGGAGTTACATAAAAACCACTCTTTGTGGAAAATTTGTAAGTTCCATTTTATTAAGAATTTTATGGTTTGTATATGTTACAGAAGTCCTGTTATTCTTTATCATTTTGTAGTATTAACTAAAGTTTGCTATATGAAAACCAAATCATGTTTTTACTAATGATGCAGCATTGTGTGAATGTTTTTTAAATGTGCATGTTAAAAAAGAATGACTTAGTCATTTTTAATTCTTAACTCACTGGAATATCTCTCAGAGCTTCTTCCTTGACATGGTCCTTTGGAAAGTTGTGTTCAATCGAGACAGACAAGGAGAATATCGCTTCACCACCACACAGCCACCACAGGTTGGAAATCAGCAGTTACTATCAATTCTTCACGTATATCTTGGCTCTTCCAGTGTATACTCTGTGTTCTCAAGGGTATTCTGTGTGTATTGCTTCAGTCTTTTCCCCTTGCCTGGCATTTCATTTTATTTCTCTCTCCTCTCTCATTTTACTTATATAGAATAATGGGTTACATTGTGGCATTTTTCATACATGCAAATAACACTTGGGTCATATTCCCATCATCCCAATTCAACATTTTAGGAAAAACATGACTCTTTTCTTTCTGTGTCTGGCTTGTTTCACTTAACATTAAGATCTCCAGTTGCATCCATTTTCCTGCAAATGATGTGATTCCACATTCTTCTCTGTGGCTGAATGATACTCTGTTGCATGCGTGTGCATGTATGTATATATATGTACATATATACATACATATGAAATATGTAATCAGTGGAATATTATACATATATGTGTCATGTGTGCACACACACATGTATGTATCACATTTTCTTTGTCCATTCACTTGTCATTGATAGGCACCTATGCCATTTTTATAACTTGGATATTGTAAATTGTTGGACATTTCAGAAAACTAATGGCAAACATTTGTTATAGGCTTTTCAGGGCTTTAGAGATAAAGATGTCTCTTCCATTCCAGTCCTAATCTTCTGTGCGTGAAGGTCTTGTCCTCGGAAATATGAGTTAATTTTTCCATTTCTGTCTATACTTTATGATTATATGAATCCCATTTGAAGCTAAAAGAGATTCATGTAAACAAAGTTTTTTTGCGGGGGCAGGTACCAGGGATTGAACTCGGGTACTCACCCACTGAGCCACACCCCGATCCCTATTTTTATATTTTATTTAGAGACAGGGTCTCACTGAGTCGCTTAGTGCCTCACTTTTGCTGAGGCTGGCTTTGAACTTGCAAGCCTCCTATCTCAGCCTCCGAAGCCGCTGGGATTATAGGTGCGTACCACCATATCTGGCTACAAAAGTTTAAAATAGTAATGGTTTCTACTTGGATGAGTCCAAAGGCCAAATTTTTAAGGGACTATTTCTGATATCTTATTAATGCCTTAATTTTGGCTGGCTTTTTGGCTTTCCCCAACATATGTGCCTCATCATTTAGAAAACATGTGTTCATTTTTATGCAAGCCATGGTTAGGGCTTTTGAGGTCAGTGAAATGGCTTGTTATTTGAAAGGTATCACAAACTTTGTGGCAACAAATAAAGAGAACCGGATAAATAAAACCTATTTCCTAGTGTCAAAATGTTAAAAGTATAGTTCTTGATAGAAAATACAGATTAGACTTACTTTTCAAACTGCCATCATTGAATGAAAGCTTTGTGAGCCAACCTTTTGAGTATAGAGAACTTGAAAGTATAAAATTTCACCCCTGTTATCTTGGGTAGTGTACTTTACAAATGTGAGTTGTATCTTCACTCATCCTTGAGCCACAGGGAAGTTTGCAGAGCTCATGAGAACTCCCTTGCAGGGTTCAGGGGTCTCCCGGACAAGAATTTTAGTCTTCCAGTTCTAACTTTGGTTACTCACTTGTTTTTAACCACCTTTTACTTAGGTGGCAACTTAACTTACTTAAGCTGTATTTTGGCAATCAAGCAAGCCTGATGCCCAGGTAGAGTACCACAGCATTGCTGTGTAAGAGATCCTATAGAACGCCATTTTCATTTTCTAGTGCTATATGATGAAGAGTGATGGTTCTTAAGTGATGGCATGAGTCTGTAGTTAGCTTCAAAGCAGCATAATACCCATTTGTCCCTAGTAGTAGATGTGTCCAGAGCTATATAGGGGCTCGAGTATAGGGGCTAAATCTCTGTGCCTGTATGTTTTCATTTTGTATTATTTTAGAGATTTAAGTTTGGCTCATATCACCAGTTCCAATGTGAAAAATTTATTGTGGCAAAACTTGGATCTAGGGAAACATTTCAGTTGTTTTCAGCTTCTCCAAAGAGATCTTTGACCATTAATCTAAACAAGAGATGCATGTTCTAAAGAAGAGTTATACAACACTGAACCACATCCCTAAGCTTTTATTTATTTTATTTTTTTATTTTGAGACAGGATCTTGCTAAACTACTGAGGCTGGTTTTAAACTTGTGATCCTCCTGAGTCACAGGGATTATAGGCATGTATCACCAGTACTCAACTGCCCTCCTTATTTTTAAGAGTTTGTGTCTTATGTGAACCCTCTAAAATGCTTAGGGTACTCAAAAGTAAACAAGATTTGGCCTTTCAGTTCTGTGGTCATGATTAAGACATTACTTTTTAAATGGTTTTAGAAAAGAGAATTCTTATAATATCTTAGCACAGAATGATATACTTTTATGTTTGGACAGTTCTGTGGGTAATGTGGTTTCACTGTTTACATTTGTGGTCCAGCAAGAGCTAATTAGTTAATTATATTAGTTTATGGTTCTCAGTCAGGGGTGTTTGTCCCCCCTGGGGAACATTCAGCAGTGTTTGGGGACATTTTTGGTTGTTCACAGTTGAGGGAGGGAGGTTGCTACTGGCATATCAAGGGAATAGAAGCCAGGATGCTGCTTAATAAATAGCATAGTTCCCAAGACAACCCTATCTAAGATGTCAGTAGAGCTGAGGTTGAAAACCCATGCCATAAGGTGAAAAGCGAAGTCAAGATGAGAATGACTAGCCACCCGAAAGACTTCTTTGAGGCTGCAATTCTTCTTATATAGTTGGGGGACCAGTGAGGTGGGTTGAAAGTTTGCAAAGTCAGAAACCACAAACTAGGCTTCAGGCCTCAGGTAGTTGAACTGGGAAGTAAAGAAACTCACCTGGAAATCTCTAGTAACTGAGTTTGAAATACCTGGTGATCTGCAAGGCTCCATATATAACACCTCCAAGATCCTCCCAGATTTATATCTAACTACATTTCATACATAAAGAAACTACAGTCAGCTTGCCAGGGTTATGCATCAATGAATGGTAGAGGTTGAAACCAGGATTTCTGATTTTAAGAGGAGTGATTTTTCAACATTTTGCCAAGCTGCCTGTAATACACCAGTTACAGAGCCGTAGAGGTGCAGACATCTAAGACTCAAATGACAAAATAGAGACAAACAATAGCTACTATTATTAAGTATACCTTCTCTGTGGTATACTACCATACCTTTATGGTGGAGCATTTTGTAAACACTAATTGTTATAGCAATCTTAAAGAGACAAGAATATCTTTAGGATAGTGCCTGTCTTCCACTTTTCCCAGATGAAGAAACGGTGTCAGAACTGGAATTCAAATTCAGATTAATCTTGACCCAGGACCATCACATTTCTTTCCACAAAGCCCCCATCTATTCTTTAAAGACCAGATAAACTTAGAGGTGTTATTTTACTGGAGGCTTCCACCTCGCTCACTGATTACTCATGCAGCTAGCCTCATTTAGTTATAGGAAGTAAGATTTTTACATAGTAATTTGTTTCCTGTAGTGGTTTTTACTGATGCTCACTTGACTCTATCTATTGAATCAAATTGAAAACTAAGTTAAGTCATTTGCAAATAATTAAATCTAACACTATTATGTAGCTACATATTTTTCCTATAATGTTATTTAGCAGTTCCAGATATTCATACTTTCTTCCAGAAAAAGATTCTTTCTGTATCAGTGATTTTCAAGTAAGGGTATTAATCAGAAGTGCCTTAAGGTTTTACTCCTGTGCAGTCTGTTCACTTTAGAAGCATTTGTGCCTATGTCTGGCTAATAAAACTGAGGCTACTTAAAAGTAGATACAGAATTAGGACCATCTTGTCATGTAATTTGATCCCACTGAGGCTAAGGAAAAGTGCCTGACTTCTTCTTTTTTTTTTTTTTTGGTGAAAAATCTAAGTGCTAACTATAGTCTTTAAGCCACTTAGGATATTATTTGAACTTATTTAGATAGGATGCTAATTCTGATGGTCTGTTTTATATTGAAAATTGGTATAGAAGAAGATTTTTATGAAAACCACAGTACCATGAGACCATTTTCCCCTCTTCAAGCATGGCTTTATATTTTATGTGCTACTCATAAAAACATTTCCTAAAAGACTGGCAAGAGTAAACTTGAGTTCTAGAATGAACAGCTTGGGATGGTCTAAGAAGCAAGAGAATTATAGCTACAAATCTGTGGAAAGTTCTTTATGGTTTCTCTGCCAAACCCTCTTTTTTCTGTGAGGGGATAAATTTGGTCACTTAACATTCCTTTCAGAAATAACAAAAATCTAGCTGGTGTAGCTACTGTGTTCTCCTGCTTCAGGGATTTGGGTCTTGGATATTTTGGAGAGACCTAAGTGTTGATTCTGAGCTTTTGCAGTATTGTGCCTCATTGCCTTTATGTTGTACAGCACTTGCCTTCCTCCTTAACACCAGCCTCTCTTCCCTGATTGATTTCATATTCCAGCATGCCCGCAGCACCTTTTATTTTTCTCTTCCAGTGTTTGAGAATGTATGTGGTATGTTCGTGTTTGTAGACTAACAAACCTATGCTTGTATATATTGTGTTTTTTGTGTATGATATTTGGGGGACAATAAGGGTACAGAAATAATGTTTCTAATTATGGTGGTGGTGGGGAATCCTTAGTGTTCCTTGACTTGATCTTAAAAAAAAAAGAAAGAAAGAAATACAAATGTACATTGTGTTTTGGTAGTACTGGGGATTGAACCAGGGCCTTGTGCATGCTAGGCAAGCACTCTATCAACTGAGCTATATCCCCAGCCCCTGGACATTATTTTTAATAAGGATTAAAAAAAAAAAAAACTTTAATGTAAAAAGAATACTATCCAGTTGTGATTATTTGCAATTAAATTAGTTTTAATTTTATTGCTTGCCTTACTTTCCACAGATAGGAACAATGAACTTAGTGTGTTTGTCGGTATATATTAAATTAGATTACTCTTTGCTTTGGCTTTCTTTAACTCAGCCATCTGTGCATTGCCCTTCAACAACTCATCTGGATAGACAAAATCTTTTTTTTTTCTTTTTAAGTCAGCAGTCAATATGAGCCTTCTTCAGTGATCCCTTAACAGTCCTACTTGTTATAAAATAAAAAATGACAGCTTTCACATTGATTTAGGAACAGTGATCTTTTCTGCATTTGGATTGAAGAGTTTAAACACTTCAGGAAAGAATAAAATCAAGTAATGAAACATCTTTCAGATTAAACACCAAGTTTGTTTGTGTTTATGTTCCTTCACTGGAAAGGAGCTGTCATCTGTTACTTGGATCACCTGAAGAATCCTACACATAGTAACTTCTCTATCCTAATGCTGTATATTTTCCTTCCGTTTTTTTTTTTTTTGGGGGGGGGAATGGTAGCATAATGACTTTGTATTATGATGATAATTAAGAGACTACTCGATGAATATTCCTAAATCTTTTTTCCCCAGGAATATTAGATAGCTTACCTGTGACCACAGGTAGACGTGCAGCTTAGGGTACTTTGTTGACAAATTAAGCTAGAAGACCTTTAAAGTGAGAGCACTGAGTTTTTGTTTATCTTGCTCATAGTAGTATCCTCGAGAAGAGGGAAAGAGTTGTAGTTCCTGGTAGTCAACTCAATAAGATGAGAAAGACCTCTCAAGTGAATGTATGAAACATTTTTAAGAGCTTACAATTAAGAGTATTTTTTTCTGCTCTCCCTGGCCAATTTATAAGTGTGTTCCACATCTACATTATAGAAGATCTGCCTTTCTTCGTCGTAAGGTTTTGGATATTCACATTAGAATATGTGTCTCAGTTATGCTGTGCTTCTTTTTTGAGTGTGTAGGATTGCTTGAATTGGAGATTAGAGCCTAATATATATTGGCTGGGTTATAAGTTGATTGGCAAAGGTTATTTATCTAAGGTCATATTCATTAATAACACCAGGATTGATCTGTAGGATTTTATAATACTAAGACAAGTACTTGCTTTATACCTTTCCATGTATCTCTTCAAGTTGAAACCTTTAAAATGAGAATATTTTTGTATTAGTGAGAAATGTAGTTTTAAAAGATGGTGACTGATGTTAAACATGTCCTCCAAGTCCTAATTTTGACCTAACAATATTTCCTTTGTGCTTCATGTTTTGAAAACTGATATTAACAGTAACAGTGATATTTTCTACTGCTTTCTTCCCAAAATGATGAGATAGCTAAGTTGTTGAGAGTATCGGTACCAAAAGATAGTTTGGGATAGCATGCAAGGATTTCCAAATTAAGTATTAAAAACATTTTCTTTTTCTGAATAGTTTGAAGTTGTTCTTAATATATTAGAAATTTTGTTACAGAATCCACATCTCCAAGTTATTTTAAAAATTGGATCAGTATGTAGAAGAATAATACATGAAACTAAGTAAAGTGAAGTAAATGACATTGATAACCAGAAAATTTACTCTTATAAAACATCTGTTCCTAAATAATTGAAAGCTGACTTTTTTTTTTAACATGGACTTTTAGAATTTGTTTATTGTTCCCAGAAGTCATGTCCTCTTATGTTTGTGTGCCAGTGTATGCTTTAACAAGCCTGTTCAAAACAAGAAGCCCTTAATCAACTAGGGTGTTCTTTTTTTTCCTCCCCTTGTTTTCCTAGGAATCAGTGGATCGATGGGGAAAATGCTGCTTGTCCTGGGCCCAGGGATGTAGAAAGAAGATGCCAAAGGCAAAGTACATGTATCTGGCACAGGAGCTATTGTTTGATCCAGAATGGCCACCAAAACCTCAGACGACAACAGAAGCTAAAGCTTTAGTGAAGGAGAATGGATCATGTCAGATTATCACCATAACATAGCAGTGACTTAGTCTCAGTGGTATGCTAATAGCAGTATTTGAAGGAATGGTTTTAGGATTTTCTAGTCCTGTATGTTAGTGTGGCACTCTTTCAATTTATGTCCCTTCTGATAAGTATCTGATTCAAGAGCCTTATTTAAAACAAAACAAAACAAACAAAAAAGGGTATTGGCCTCATTGTTGAAATTAACTGTCAGTCCATCTATATCTTTATTCTGTAACCAAATATATACATTTCCAGAATTTTGGTTGTTACCCTTAGTCATACTCTTTATATTAGGTACAAGAGAAATTTGGCGTTTGGTAGATACTTAGACATTAGCTTTTGGAACTAGTTTGCCTCTTTATTTTCACAACCCTCTTATTAGAAAAAGTTTATGTTTATATACAGGCCCTAAGTTTGTGATCATTAAAAATAAAATGGGTGTTAATTAGCCTCCAGTGAAAACAGGTTGAAAGCCTGTTTTCATTTTATTCCAATATTTCTCCCAAAGAATTCTGTGTAAACCTACACCAGTTCTCTTTGATAGTTTAGAATTAGTAGTGGGTTTTTATAGTGTTGCTTATAGAACAACTCAGGTAATTCCTCTGTATGGTGTTATATTTTCTGTACAAACTGCCTGGGTTTTATTTTTCTAATCGGCAAGGTGCTTCACTGCCTTCTTAAGATGTCCCTCAAAACTGTTAAGTGGATGTTTTTCTCTGTCTAGTGTCAGTGGTCTAATTGTTTTGCTTCATTTAAATGTTGTGAAACCTTTTTTACTAGAAAAAGATGATTTCTTTTGGAAGTAAATGTAGATCTGTCTAACATCTCAACATACATTTTTCCCCCCCTTCAGGATCTGTATTATTTAATTTTTTTTAAAATTTTCTCCAATTTTTTAATTATCTAAAGACATAGGATAATAATGAATTTTGTTTTTTGTGTTTGAATTTTACCTTGAAAGATTTTTTTTAAGATTAGGTGTATCTCTTATCAGTAATAAGGCTTAAAAAATAATGAGTATTGGATTTGAGAGACTGCTATTTTTTTTTTCCAAAGTGATGTAAACTTGGTGAGAGCTTGTTATGCCATTAGGTGGCGCCAGAGGTCAAAGCATACCTACTTTGCTGTAAATAAACATACCTGGTGTAGCAATTTCTGGGAGGAAAAAAAATGAGGAAATAAAGAATAGACATTCATTGAGCCGTAAGAAATGTAGGAAATTACTTTTCACCTTTCTGTTTTGCTTGATTAATGTTCAAATTTTTCAGGAATTTAAAGTAAACTTTAAAATGGATCTATAGGTAGGATTCAGCAGTTTGGCAATGCCCACAGTTATGACAGACACAGGAAACTGTAAAACACACCCTACTCTATTAAAACAATATAATATTCTATGTGCTTTCTTAACTAATCACATACTTGTGCTTTCCACTGATCATTTTTTAGCTGATCATTGTTTTCCCAGTACATTTTTACCAATTTACCAAATGTTATCTGGAACTGTAGAACCAAATGGTTCTCATTCTTTATGCTGCAAAGACCTGAATGGTGTTTGGTAACTGTAGAAAAATGCAAGTTACACTCAGGATCACTGTTATTGCTGTTGCCACTGATGATTCTTACAAAAAATATAATCGAAGTTTTCCATCAAAATGTATAATAAGATATTAATACACATTAGATGATAAGAACAATTGTTCCATGAATGATTCTATGAAGCTATGCATCTTAGACCTCTTGAGCTGTGAATTAGCACTGTTTTCTATAGTTACTTAAATCTCTTGATTGTTTTATAATTTCCATATTCATTTTAAATATACTCAAGTGTTATTCTTTGGTGATTTCTAGAATTGTAAATTGTATTCTTTGGTTTAAAGACTGAAGCATATAAACAAAGTAATTGCTAAGTAGGAGATTAAAAATCCAGTTATCAGATTGTATTTAACATCTTTAAGAGCATGATCATAAAGAACTATTTTTGACCACGCACACCCCTTTTAATATTTAGAGTTAGTAAGGGTTTTATATCTCATCTGTTCATACTGTTTTCCAGGGAATGACGTTTTAGATAGGTGGAAAAGCATTTGTAGGAAGTTAGAGTGAACATAAACAGGGTAGGTTATTCAAGTTCAGAATGTATTTGCAGAATGTCTGAATCCAGGTGTGGGTCCTCCTCAGTGCCATAGGTAGACTGAGCCCTCTCTGTAGGTCACCGTTACATAGTAATTTTGGTTCTGAATTTTACATTAAATTATTTGAGTGTATACAGAACTAAATTTAAAAATCTGTACATATATTATTTTGATGTATTAAGATTGATAAATATTGCTGATTTAAATTTTATTTATGCACATAAAGGACAGAAATGTCCAGGAAAGTAATTGTTAAATAATGATATGTAACTTTTTAACTTTTTAAATAAATAACAAGATTTTTAATGTGTGTCTCCCTCAGGGTTGTTGAAATTTTTTTTCTTTCTCCCTCAAATATAAATAGTGGTAACTATGTTTTCTATCTTCTAGCACCAACTGCTGTAAAGCAATGCTGCAAATAATGCTTGAATAAAAGTGGCTAAGCCAACAAAAAAATAAATACTTTTTATAGTAGTTTTATAATCCTTAAATTCGAAAGCTTTCCAAATTGCACTTGCATTTAAACACAACTGTTGCAGCTTTTACTCATTTATTTTGTTTCCCATGTTGATGAAAGTACTGCACAGTTTCAAAGGCATGGCAAATAATATATCAGTGTTCATGTAGTTTGTCCCCAAAGTGCAGCTATAGATAACAACATCCAGTGAAGAGCAAAATGCAGGCTTTAGAAAAAATTCTAATAATTCATGCATGTAATTTTGACATATCTGAAATAGGTTTTTATATATTTATGGTGGGAGGTGGTTGGGAACTTTCAACAAAGTGGGATGTTAATTTTTGTACAGTCTATGGGCATTTACACATATTTTTAATGTATTAAGATTTGGTAATTATGTGCACATGAAATTAATTAAATAGTTACTTTCTGTTATGATTTGTGAATTCCCTAAGACCTTGGTTTTTTTAAAATAACTTTATATCGGAAATGATACTGCATCTTTATATTTTTAAAATTGTATTGCTGCTCAAGAATGGTACCCTGTTGTCAAAAAGACGTACATTCATAATTGTACATTCAGCATTGTAAATAACCTTATGAAATCCTTTTTGATTGAAGCTATTCAAAATAAAAATTTAAATGAATAATATTTTCATAATTCTTTTTGTGTCACTATACATTTGTTTACATTGGAGCTCTCTCTGGATTAATTTTGGTGGTTAATATTTCCCTATTTGAAATTTTTGGGTATTCTTAAAACAGTAAGTACAAGTACAATATTCCACATGTCACATCAGGCCTATGCCCATCCTGGAGAAGCTCATCTGTCAGATGCAATGTAGAGTCAAATGTTAAGTGTCAGGGGGTCTTAACATATAAGACTGAAGGACCCATAGTCCTTTGGTAGTTAGAAAGGTCAAGCCAAAAGCTAGCCATGTAAGACATGGTAAACCTGTAGTAGCATCCATTGGGTGCAGAAAGAACACTCAGGGAAAGGCAGACAAGAGAAACTGGAGCTAAATAGATTGCAGAAATAACGGAGAAGGTAGTGGCTTTCCTCTGTGGTTTACAACTGTGTGACTTAGAAGGTGATTTCAGTCAGGTCAGCATTTTCTTGGCTACGTCAAAGAGTGATTGAATTCCAGTATTTTTTCTATGACACCTACAGATGTCTTTGATTGGGAGACTTCTTCCCTAACCTGGATGAAGTAAGTTAGGAAGTAAGTGCTTGACCACTCCATTCTGTAATTCCAGAGAAGAATGTTTATTCTTTATCAATTCAAACACTGACCTTCACTTTATTTTTGTGTTAAATTCTTTAAAATCAGTGATATAAGCACAGGATTTTAAAAAAATTAATGTTGCAGGGTGCATGCCTGTAATCCCAGTGGCTCTGGAGGTGGAGCAGGAGGATCGGGAGTTCAAAGCCAGCCTCAGCAAAAAGCAAAGCACTAAGCAACTCAGACCCTGTTTCTAAATAAAATACAAAATAGGGCTGGGAATGTGGGTCAGTGGTCGAATGCTCCTGAGTGCAATCCCTGGTACAAAATAATAATTATATATAATTATTATTCAATCTTTTAGATATATACAAAGAAGTCTACTTGTTTCCTGGACATATCTTTGTTGTATCATTACAGGAAAAAAATTGTATATGTAGTATGTTTTTAAAAATTATATAAATAGGATTCCATGTAAACATGTTTTGTCATTCAGTAAATCTTAGATAAGTCCACACTTAACACCTCAACTTTTTAAGTTTGCAAGGCTTCCCATTGTATGCATATTCCATAATTTCAACAACTATGTCATTTTAGGTTTTTTTTTTTTTTTTAACCTGCAATAAATGTTTTTGTGCATCCACCTTTTGTGGGGGGTGGTGCCGGGGATTGAACTCAGGGACACTCAACCACTGAGCCACTTACCTAGCATGAGTGAGGCCCTGGGTTCCAACTCTAGTACTACCAAAAATAGAATTTAAAACAAAAGAATCCAGAGACAACCATTCATGAGATACTGATTTTGACAGTGCTAACATTGCAACTGTGGGGGAAGAAGGGATTTCCATATTTAGGTTAGTAAGCAGCTAGACAAAAAATTGAATCAATCCTGGGTGGATTAGAGATCCAAAACTAAAATGTAAGGGAATATAGGGGAATATTTTCTGACTTGGGAGGAGGACTTTAACAGAGGCAAGTCATGAAAGGAAAGATTAATAACCTTACTTGTATCATTTCAACCAAAAGACAAACCCCACACTAGTTGGAGACATTTGTAACATTAACTGACAAAGGATTAACAGCCAGAGTATATAAAGAATGCCTACAGTACAGCTGCATATAGAAAAATGGGCAAAAATAATTAAATTTCTCAGAAGATGAAACAAAAGGGGGCCCTTAATATTATACAAAGTTAAAAGTCAATCATTAAACAGGAAAGTACAAAATGAAGGCCATGATCATTGTAAATAATGAAATTTCTAAAAAAACTGAACAAAGATGTGACGCTCGGGAATCCTTTCAGATTGTATTGTTTATCAGCATAACCACTTTAAAGTGGAAAGCAGCTTGACGAGTTAAAATGAACATGTGAACTCCCTTCAAACCAGCAATGCCATCACTGAACAAGTTTGACAGTGTTTTTCTTCCCCTCCCCCCCCCAAAAAAAGTGGAGCATTTTAGAATGTCCTTAGCTTCATCCCTAAAAGAAGGGGGAAATGGAGCACCATATTGCCCAATGTGGCACGCAAAGGAAGTGTGACCCGTTTAGGGGTGTGGCTGCTTCGATGATCCAGTGAAACTTTTGTAGCATCACAGTCATCTTATGCCATTTATGGAAAAACTTTCCCTCCTATCACTCAATTTAGACAGTAGAATTCAAGTTACATATGGTCTCTGAAGATATCATTAAAAACCAGAATATGCCCTCTGTGATAGGGTCCTTTCCCTGACCATATTCTGGGGAAGTCTTTATCCTCAGGATGCAAGGATGTTCCCTCTTCCTCTGCAAAGTGCAGAATGACATGCACAGCTCTAAGCCTTTCGGTTGCTTTGGGGTGCAGATCCATTTCAGGTAAGGTCAAATATATATATATATATATATATATATATATATATATATATATATATATATATATTTTTTTTAGTATAGGCAAGTACAGGGCTCACTCAATGTATGCATAAGAAATAAAATTTGGTACAAGAAACAATTTATGTAAAATTTTGCTTGGGAAACATTGTTTTTCAGATTGGTATTGTATTTCAGATAATTCAATTTCCTGTTAATTTTTATTTTTAAAAAATTTCTTATTCATCCTGATTAATTATACATGACAATAGAATGCATTTTGCTACATCATACATAAAAGGAGTGTAACTTCTCATTCTTCAACTGTTAATTTTTATTAAAAATCATAGAAATAGTAGCCCCTTATTTATGGCTATGTCAGAAATACTGTAGACAAAATTTAACTGTGCTATCCTAGTTAAGTTACTTGACCTTTCGGTGCCTCAGTGTCTTAATAATCCTAGAGGATAATTATAGTACCTATGATAAATATTGTAAGGATTAAATGAACATAAATTGCATGGCATAAAGTGATGGGTATTAGTCTGTGTTCTTAGCTTGGCTGTAAACACGGTATTCCCTGTTCCTTTTTTTTTTTTTTTAGTGGAGTAAATTGTACTTTGAAAATAAATGACAGAAAACAAGTCGGATGGGGGTGGGCACAGACTGTCCTACTTCCTGTCCTTGTAGTCATTGCCAGTCCTGTCCCCGGTACATTACAGCCAGCCTTGGTTAAATAATGAAGTCAACAACACAGCCATTTTCATAATGGACTTGGCTTTGTTAGATCCGTGAACCTGAATATGAGAATGATTAATTAGTTCTCTTCATGTGAAGATTTTAAAACATTCGCTATTCTATAGCTTGAAAACGCTTTCATTTCAATGTTTTAAAACAGTGAAAATCAATAAAAGCGAGACCAGGTAGTGTAGAATGAATGTCTTTCACCACTCAAGCACACCTGCACTCCTAAGAAAAGGAAACGACTTAGTTAAATCTAAGCAAAATTGAAAGGCAATGGGAATCTTGGTGAAAGGGTTGTGCCCATGCAAACTGCGTAGGATTACAAAAGGCGCCAGAAGCAAAAACGCCGGTTATGTTTGTTGCCTATTCAGATATGCTAAGGAGCATCCTGTTGTGCGCATTGCTCCGGCTCCTGCGCGCCCAGCCTTTCCCCTGCCCTCAAGCCTGCAAATGTGTCTTCCGCGACGCCGCGCGGTGCTCCGACATCAACGTGGTGCGCATCGCGGACCTGGGTCTGCCCACCAACCTCACTCACGTCCTGCTCTTCCGAATGGGCCGCGGAGCCTTGCAAAATCATAGCTTCAGTGGCATGACGGTCCTGCAGCGCTTGATGCTATGGGACAGCCACATCTCTGATATTGCCCCCGGTACCTTCAATGACTTGACAAAACTAAAAACCCTCAGACTGTCGCGCAACAAAATCACCCATCTTCCAGAAGCTCTCCTGGATAAGATGGTGCTCCTGGAACAGTTGTTCTTGGACCACAATGCACTAAGGGACATTGACCAAAACATGTTTCACCAATTGGCTAACCTGAAGGAGCTCCTTTTGAATCAGAATGAACTCACTTTTCTTTCTGCTAACCTTTTCACAAATCTGGGGAACCTGAAACTGCTGGATTTATCGGGAAACAATTTGACCCACCTGCCCAAGGGACTGTTTGGAACACAGGCTAAGCTTGAGACACTTCTGCTCCACTCCAACCAGCTCGTCTCTCTGGATTCAGGGCTGCTGGACAACCTGGACGCCCTGATCGAGCTGCAGCTCGACAAAAATCACCTCCGTGCCATCGCGGCTGGTGCCTTCGACCGTCTCCGGAACCTGAGGATCTTGTCTCTTTCGAGAAACCACCTCGGGTTTCTGCCCCCCGCACTCTTTCTTCATTCTCACAGCTTGACTCTGTTGACCCTGTTCGAGAACCCGCTGGAAGAGCTCCCCGACGTGCTCTTCGGGGAGATGGCCGGCCTGCAAGAGCTGTGGCTGAACGCCACCCAGCTACGCACGCTGCCCGCCTCCGCCTTCCGCAACCTGAGCGGCCTGCACACCCTAGGGGTGACAGTGAGCCCGCGCCTGAGCGCGCTCCCGCAGGGCACTTTCCAGGGTCTGGCTGAGCTCCGCGTGCTGGCCCTGCACTCCAATGGCCTCGCCTCGCTCCCCGACGCCTTGCTGCGCGGCCTCGGCAGGCTGCGCCAGGTGTCGCTGCATCACAACCGGTTGCAGGCCCTGCCCCGTGCGCTCTTCCGCAACCTCAGCAGCCTGGAGAAGGTCCAACTGGACCACAACGAGTTGGAGACTCTGCCTGGCGATCTATTTGGGGCTCTGCCTCAGCTGACGGAAATCCTGCTGGGGCATAATCCCTGGCTCTGCGACTGTGGCCTGTGGCCATTCCTTGAGTGGCTGCGGCAGCACCCGGGTCTAGTGGGTCGAGAAGAGCCCCCGAGCTGCCACGGCCCCGTGGAGCGCGCTGGCATGTTGCTCTGGGCCCTCCTGGAGGGTGACCCCTGGTGCCCGAGCCCTCGGGGCGCGCCTCCCCGCCCTCTAGCAGGGAACGCCCTGGAAGCCCCCATCCCCTCCTTGCTTCCTAACAGCGCAGAACCTGGGGCCCCCACCCAGCTGGTGGCTACCAGCGAACGTCAAGATCACAGCCTCTTCTGGAGTCTGTATTTTTTGCTTCTAGCTGCTCAGGCCGTCATAACCGGCATCATTGTGTTTGCTATGATTAAAATAGGCTGGCTCTTTCGAAAATTAATCAGAGAGAGGGCTCGTGAGTCAACTGGAAAACCTCGTCATTAAAACCTGACCAGGGTATTGTCAGATGTGGCTCTGGGGAGAATCCAGACGGGGCTGCTGTTCTCCCTTTCCTCCTCTCTGCCACTTTTCCCTCTCCCTTTTCTCCCCTCTCCTCCTCAGCCCTTCTCTTTCCCTCTCCTCAGAACTAACCTTTCCATTTGTGAGTTACTATCACTGTGCAGGCCTCTTGTCTCCCCTCTTTAATACACTCCATGGACTGTGATTGGCCCACACTGTCCCACTAGCCCTGCTTGGTGTCTGGGGGAGAGGGAGGGTTTTGAAATGTTTGAGACTACACTTTCTGCCAGGGCCTGACTCCCGCACATGACAAGCCTCCTGTAAATGTTTGTGAAATGAACGAATAAAATAAAATCTGAGTGATGATGGCTTTTCCTGAGAGAAAGGATGGGTTGTTCTCCTTATCTACTTGTATTTGAAAAGCAGAACTCTTCCAGTTCTTTGTTTTTGTGTTTTTGGTGGGTGCTGGGACTGAACTATATCCCCAGCTTCCAGTTCTTTCCCTTGCCTTTTACTTCTCCCTTCATATATCTCTGAAAGCACTGGACTCCATTCATTCAGCAAATAGTTTCAGGGTAGGCCAGGTTGAGACAGGTTGAGAAAGAAGGAAAACATTGAACCTTCCCTTCAGGGGTGCAGCGCCCAGTGAGAGCAGCCATCGAGCCTGCCATGACCGAGAATATAGGAGCTCACCAGGCCACAGTGTGGACTGAGGAGGGTCCCCTAAGTGGATTCAGAGAGCCAGCACGTGACTGTGAAGGCTGGGAAACTGCTCAGCATGCTTAGTCACCTCCCCGGAGTTTCCACTTGCTTTGCATCAGTGAAATATGTCATTTGGTTTTCATTTCCTGGAACTAAACACCACATCATTTCATAAGCATTTATGGAGCAGCAAACATATGACAGGTGTTCATGAATGTAATGATAAGCTTGGTTCCTGGTTTATTATGCTTGTATCACATTCTCATTTATTCTTCCAATTGAAAGCAGTTAAGCCCTTGTTGCTTTAATTGAATGGCTGTGCTTGTGAGAGGCATTGGTTGACACAGGGCTGCTAAATTGACAGCTGTGGGTTCCGTCCTGGCTCCTCAACTTACTGCATAGCACCTTGGGCAAGACACCTACACACATTGTCTAAGCCTTGGTTTCCTCATCCCTGAAAGGGGATAAAATAATACCTGCCTCACAGAGCGGCTGTGAGGATTAAAGGTGATAAAGCATATAAAGACTTAACCCAGTGCCCTGCATACAGTAAATGCTCAATGAATGGCAGTTATTATAACTCAAGGGTGAGCAATGATTGCTGCATCATGATTTCTAAAGAAGAGTTTTGAGTTGTGTTTTTCTTTGGATATAAAAGAAAGAGCAAACTTTCTCAAACTGGAAGTTCTATTCAAACCCGTCATCCTTACCTGTGGGTGGTCTCAGGGCTGTGTGGTGAGGCTCTGTGCTCACAGCAGAGCTGTGGATCCTCCCAACTGGATGTGGAGCAGGAAGACCTGGATCCTGGCATTTGTTGATGTACTTCTCTTTCAAGGACAAGTACAAATGTCTGCTTGCATGGTAGACTCATGTGTTCCCATGGTGCTTTCTATCTGGCACTGGGCACCCCTCCCACTAGGTCCTGGACACCCTTTACTTCAGGGTTTCGATTTAGGGTATCTGTTTAATGCGACTCTTGCACTGTAAACTTCTTAGCTGGATGTAGTCTTATTTTCAAATTTTGAAATTACTTACAGCTAAAAATCCAGATTTTTTTTTTTTTTTTATGGAATACTGACTGCTTTCTAACCACTATACTCTCAGGCAAGCTCCCTAGCTCTCAAGCCTCTGTCTCTTCACCTGCAAATGAAGATGATAACAATCCCTATTACTGTTGCAAGGATAAAATGAGATAATCCACTTGAGATAAAGTCAGTGGCTGGTGCCCTGGGGCTCAAAATAAGTTAACAATTCTGATTAGCTATTTCTGGAACTCCTCTGTATTCTAGGCATTTCTCAAGGCCTTAGCATGTGTTCATTCATTTGGCAGATATTTTTTGAGCACCTACTTTGTACCCCTTCTAAATGGAAGGACAGAACTATGGATAAAACAATGTGCACACTTACATGGGGTTTGCATTCTACTGTCCCTTCCCACTGTAACTTTGATCCAAAACTCTTGGCCATCTTCCAATATTCAGAAAAGTATGGGGGACAATTTTGAGCACATTGGCTACTATAAAATGTTTATACTTGGCTATGCTTGCTTCACAATTAAATTTTTTGTTTTTTAGTTATAGTTGGACACAATACCTTTATTTTATTTATTTATTTTTATGTGGTGCTGAGATTGAACCCAAGGCCTCGCACGTGCTAGGCAAGCGCTGTACCACTGAGCCATAACACCAGCCCTTCACAATTTTTTTAACAGAGTAAAATACAACAGATAAAGTTGAAGGCTCCTGTAGATATCTCTTCCCTGATTTCATTCCTTTCCTTCTCTCCTGAGAGATCACCTACTTAACAAATTTGGTGTTTCGCATCCATCCCTGTGCATGCTTTTAGATTTCTACTTTTGTTTTGGTAGAGTATTTTGTTGTTGTCATTGTGGTTTGTTTTGGTTTGATGCATCCTCAGCCACATCCCCAGCCCTTATTTTTATTTATTTATTTTGAGACAGGGTGTGTTAAGTTGCTTAGGGCCTCAATAAATTGCTAAGGCTGGCTGTGAACTTGGGATCCTCCTGCGTCAGCCTCCCAAGCTGCTGAGATCACTGGCGCGCCCTACTGCACATAGCTATTTTTACCTCATGTATTAAGATGCTCAGTTTTTTTTTTTCCTCCTTCAAGGTGTTGAAATGGTAAATAAATTTACAGATTTTGAAAAGCAAATTCATATCCGCCTTCCTGAGGTAAACTCAGCCTGGCCATGCGTTCTTAAAATATATTAATAGACTCAGTTGGCTAATGTTTTGTTTTGAACTTCAGTATGTATTCGTTAGATTTGCTTATGAATTTTTTTAAATAATATCTTTGAGTAGTTTTGATGTCCAGATTATAAACTGGGATTTTTTTCTCTCACTCTACTTTGTAAAACTGGGGTCATCTTTTCCTTGATCTTGTTGTAATGCTCCTCTGAAAACCCTTCTTGGCCTAGTTGTATGTGTATATGTGTGACATATCTATTGCTACAGAACAAATGCTCCAAATCTTAGTGACTTCAAACAATATGATTTATTATCTCACAGTTTCTGAAGGTCAGTAATTTGGCAGTAACTTCGTTGGGTGGTTCTGGCTCAGGGTCTCTCAAGGAGTTTTCATCGAAATCTTTGCTGAGGCTATCATCTGAACAGGGGTGGACAGTCTGCTCCCAGAGTCTCTCACACAGTTGGTAGTTCCTTGCTGGTTCATGGCAGGAGGCCTCAGACCCTTGCCACATGTACGCCTGTAGTAGTTTGTTTTGTGTTTGTTTTGTGTTACTCTGACAAAATACCTGAGGCTGGGTATGGAGACTGGGGTATTTTATAAAGAAAATAAATGTATCCAGATGTGGTGGCACATGCCTGTAATCTCAGTGACCCTGGGGGCAGGAGGATCCCAAGTTCAAGGCCAGCCTGGGCAACTTAACAAGACCCTGTCTCAAAAAATAAAAAGGGTTGGTGATATGGGCATGTAGCTCAGTGGTAGAGAGATCCTGGGTTTAATCCCCAGTACTGAAAAAAAAAAGTGTATTTAGCTCACAGTACTGGAGTTCCAAGAGCATGGTGCTGGTGTCCTGGTGAGAGCTCCTTTGGCGGACTCACAACATGGTAGAGAAGCTGGAAATGCAACATGCAGAAGAAACATGCAGAAAAGCCCATGAAGCATCCTCATGATCTGATGACCTGTTCTCACAGGACTTCCCAAGAAAGCAAGAATGGACCCTCATGAGAAAGCAATAAATCTTTTTGTTCTTTTTAAACTAACCATACTTATAGTACATATTAATGGGATTGGATGAGATATTTCCATGCTCTATACAATAGGCATGGATCATATCCAACAACCCTCCTGCCATCCCCTTGCCCCCACAGTAACCATGATTCTATTATCAGGTCAACTTAAAATAAAATCTGATGTCACGTATAACCAAAAGGAACAAATTTTTAAAAAGGTAACAAAATTTAAAAAATAAAATAAAATTTGAAAAAAAATACTGAACTGTATACTTTAAAATAACAAATTTTCTTATATGTGAATATATATCAAATTTACAAAGTAAATTCAAGGAAAGCAAATAGGATCAAGAAAATATTCATTGTAAAAAATGACCTACAGAGAAGGAATGTCCCTGTGAGAGAAGGAGAGAGGCATCCATTCCTTCCAAAGGTGGGGCCTGGGTGGTATGATCGTCCCCCAGCACGGCCACACTAGAGATGCATTTCCAAGCACATGAGCCTTTAGGGGACAAACCATGTCCAAACTGTAGCAACTTCTTTTGGGGCTGCTTGAATGTCTTCATGAGAGGGCAGCTGACTTCCCCAGAGCAAGTGATTTAAGAGCAAGATATCAAGGCAGAAGCCCACAGTGCTGTTTTATGGCATAGCTTTGACGATCACAGTCATTTCCACAGTAGCCTCCTGGTTTGCAGAGGCAGGTCTGTGCAGTGTGGGAGGGCCTTACTCACCAGGTGAACGCCAGGAGGCCAGAATCACTGCGGTCACATTGGAGTCGGATTGCCACAGTATACATGACTTGTGTGTGTGCAATTTATCTTAAATACTGATTGAGGTTTTTTTTCCCAGTGGTTACAGATTTATTCATTCTCTACACCCTCACTTTTATTACAGTCTTTATTTTGAAAGTGTCCATTTTGTCCTAGCATTTTTATTTAGCTTTAAAAATCTCCACCAGATCTTCAGTTGTTCCTTTTTAAAAATCCCTATTATTATTTATATCCATTTTTATCTTGTTCACTTTTACAACATTTTTTCCCTCATTTTATTAGATTTTTAGTAAGGTAAGACTTTGAGCTTTGGTGACCCACTGTATTGTATCATTGTTTTGTTTTCTATATCATTCATTGTCAATTTTTGTTTTTTTCTTTCCTATTTTTTTTTTTTAAACTGGGAAATGAACCCAGGGGCACTTTGCCACTGAGCCACATCTCCAGCCCTGTTTTATTTTTTATTTTGAGACAGGGTCTCACTAAGTTGCTTAGGGCCTCGATAAATTGCTGAGGCTAACCTTGAATTTGGGATCCTCCTGCCTAGACCCCAGAGTTGCTAGGATTACAGGTGTGATTGACCACACCCAGCCTAAATGCATTTTTTAAAAAAATATTTCTCTTATTGATTTTAAAATCAGTTGTGGTCTCTATGATTCCAATTCTTAGGACT